GGGGGACACGACTAAATTCATTTTCAAAGCTGACTCTGAGCTTTCTAGGCAAAGGACACTCAAAGTAGAAGGGGCAGCAGGAACAAAGGCAAGGAGTGCAGACAGCTGGGTTGGGGGAGACAGGAAATGGAGCTAAAAGCTGTTACTCAGTGTCGCGCCCTCCACTCAGGGTTGAAGGTCCTTGCGACTGCTGGCTTCCTGCGGGAATCATCCCAGTCTGCCATTAATCCCTCTGAGAGTCCAACTGCTTAAAGCAAAGTGCGCTGTGGACTGTATAAATCAGGGAAGCGTGATTTATATGATCTCTAGGAGATCATAGCCCCGTCTACGCGGCTAGGCCATTTTTTGCCGAGGGATGTTGCTGGAGGCGCATACCTTGCCTGTGGCTGTGGACTGGATATGGGTGGTCTGAGCAAACATGGCTTCACATGGCGATGTTAACAGTTGGCTGAACCTTTAAAAGCTAGGACCTCCCTGCCGGAGGTCGTTGCTGACCTCTGCCTGGTCTCTCTCTGGGTTTTGTGTGTGAAGTGTGATCTCTCCCGTCTCACGTGTTTCCCTGGCGCCATGCACCATAATGTGACCCAGCCAGGGGAGTCCTCACCCGAGACTGAATCAATAGGGATTTCTCATCTAGCTCCAAAACTGTGAGCTGAATAAATTTCTTTCCTTTTCTTTTCTTTCTTTCTTTCTTTCTTTCTTTCTTTCTTTCTTTCTTTCTTTCTTTCTTTCTTTCTTTCTTCCTTCCTTCCTTCCTTCCTTCCTTTCTTTCTTTCTTTCTTTCTTTCTTTCTTCCTTTTTTTGTTTTTGTTTCTTTGAAGCCTGTCCTGGAACTAGCTCTTGTAGCCCAGGCTGGCCTCAAACTCACAGAGATCCGCCTGCCTCTGCCTCCCAAGTACTGGGATTAAAGGCTCACGCCACCATCACCACTCAGCCAACTTTTCTTTTCTTTACCTAACTTCAGAAAGTTGGCTATAGTGACAGAAAATAGATCAATGCACTCTGATACAAAGTAATTAACCCTTCATGGCCAAGAGAGAGAATGAGTGAGAGAAAAGTCATTGTCACAGTAACTTTTGTTTTGATAAAACTCTGACAAAGGCAAGCTAAAAGAGGAAGGGTTTATCTGGCACCCAGTTCAGGTTGCAGCCCATAATAGAGGGGAAGTCACAAAGACAGGAGCCCATTTGGGCTAGTGACCAACTGATTTCTCAGTCTTATGCAGTGGAAGATCCCTTGCCTAGGGGATGGTGGCACCCATAGTGGGGGGGGGTCGTTTTACTTCAAGCTACTCATCTCAATTCCAAGGTCGTCCTAATGTCTGTCTAGCAACAGAATTACAGTCACAGAGCTCAAACTTGGCTCTGGAAATCTATATGGTCTTCATTTCATTTCTTCACGCTTCATTTTCTTGCCCACAGAATATTTCTAGATATTTGTTACATAAGACACAGCATTCAAACCGGGCATGGTGGCGCACACCTTTGATCCCAGCACCCAGGAGGCAGAGGCAGATGGATCTCTGTGACTTCGAGGCCAGACAAGGGCAAGCAGTCTACTATAGTGAGCCCCAGAACAGTCAGGACTATATATATATACCTTGTCCCTCCTTCTCTTGTACAACATTCTAATGAAAAATCTATTCAGGTCTCTCTCAACTGAACATCATCCTCCATCAAGACCAAGCTTCCCAGCCACTCTACTCGTCAGCCTTTCTAGATTGTTCATGTTGAAAAGCTACTTCTTGCTTTTTTTGTTTTTTCACTTTTTTACTGTAACTAATGTCAATGCAAAGATATATTAACAACAAAAAGTCTCTCCAGTCCTACACCCAACCAACTGGATAACGGCAAGACCATGATCAAAAGCAGCTTGGGGAAGAAAGGTTTTATTTGGCTTATCTATCCCAAGTCACAGCTTATTGAGGGAAGCCACTACCACAGAAACTCAAGACAGAAAACTGGAGACAGGAACTAAAACAGAGGCCGCGCAGGGCTGGAGAGGTGGCTCAGGGGTTAAGAGCATTGCCTGCTCTTCCAAAGGTTCTGAGTTCAATTTCCAGCAACCACATGGTGGCTCATAACCATCTGTAATGAGGTCTGGTGCCCTCTTCTGGCCTGCAGACATATACACAGACAGAATATTGTATACATAATAAATAAATAAATAAATATTAAAAAAAAAAAAACAGAGGCCGTGGAGGAACGCTGCTTACATTCATTTAACTTAATTGGCTTGCTCTGCCTGCCGGGCTTGCTCAGTTTGCTTTCTTAAATACCCCAGGACCACCCGCCCAGGGATGGTATCACCCATAGTGGGCTGGGTTCTTCCGCATTTACCATCATTAAAGAAAATCCCCCACAGGCTTGCCTGCAGGTCAATCTGATAGAGGCTTTTTCTCAGTTAAGTTCCCTCTCTCCTGCTAGAAGAGGGCATCAGAGTTTCCAGAACTGAAGTTAACAGGTAGTTGTGAGTGTCCTGATGTGAGTGCTGGGAACCAAACTCTAGTTCTCTGGGGCTGGAGAGATGGCTCAGTGTAGTTAAGAGCTTTGCCTGCTCTTCCAAAGGTCCTGAGTTCAATTCCCGGCAACCACATGGTGGCTCACAACCATCTGTAATGAAGTCTTGTGCCCTCTTCTGGCCTGCAGACATACACGCAGACAGAATATTATACACATAATAAATAAATATAAAAAAAGTTCTCTGAAAAAGCAACAAGCGCTCTTAACTGCTGAGCCAGCCGCCTTCCCAGTCCCTCCCTTTCTTCTCAACAGACACACAGCATTGCAGGGCAAAGACAGACTGAGGTTTACTCAGCTGCTAACTGTAGCTAATCTGGCTAACACAAACAGATCAGTGGTAAATATATTCATACAAAATGGGCCCTTTTTTTTTTCTGTTGGGTGGATAACCAAAAGTGGGTTTTTTGTTTTGTTTTGTTTTAGATGTTGTGCCCAAGTTGAGAACCCTCAGAGAGACCACCACCAGAATCCAGTCAAGTCCAAAAAGCAAAAGCAGGGTTTACTCAGCGCACTCTCCAGCCAGGCTGGGGACTCGACCACAACACTAGACGCAGCGCAGTAGGGAGGAGACCCCCCTCATCATCTGGGGTTGACATTATGAACTACAAACTAGGTTCATTTAGGGTCAGTTCACTAGATGCAAGGTGTGGGCTACTTCTGCTAGGGACATTTCATAGTTTGTACTTTTGCAAAGGTTCCTGTTTCCAGCTAACTCTTGATGCTGTAAAGTATCTTGAACCCAGTGCCTTAACCAACTCCTGATCAAGCAAAGTTTCTTAAAATTTTCCATGTCTTTACATAGAGTCGGTTATATTATGGTCTAACGATTACAGCAGTTCACATTCCAACGAGCAAAGTTTGAACACTCCTTTTCCCGCCTCCCAGACTTCTCAGGCAGTCGCTGGCTCCTACAGTTCCCTTAAGGGAAGGGAGTGGGCGTGGCTTGTCTCTTAAAGGGACAGGACAGATCATCACACACGTCACTGCTCCTTCATCTGCCTTAGTTTAAATCCTTCTAAGCTGCAGTAAGGGTTTATTTCGGCTATCTTAGTGTTGCATTTTTAGAGGTTTTATTGGGCTCAAAATAAATCTCCCTGGTCTTTTAAAACATTGTATTTTCTTTACTCACGTTTGGGTTTAGGTGTGGTTTTGATTCTGTAGATGTGTGTTTAGGACGGGGTCCGGTGCATGCTAGGCAATGCGTTAACCACGTACCCACACCTGCAGCCCGTGTTTTAGATGCGCTTTTTCATTTATCTCATGACATTAAATCCGTTCACACTGTACATGAGGGACTCGGGCTTGTTTCCTTTGACTTTTGTTTCCTATGACGGACACTTTGTTTCCTTTAGTGGTTGTTTGTGGTTTTGGACAGTGAGCTTCTTTGAGGACTCCTTGCTATCTGTGTACATTCTTTGAAAATTGGTTTTATTATCTCTTTTTATGGGACACGCACACGCACACGGTGGGACACGAACACGGTGGATGTCATTTTCTTCCTTCCCACTTTCCTAGCTCTCTTCTTTGTGGGGTGTGTGTATTGTACGTTTTGCTGTGGCTCAAACCAGACTTTATACAGGCTAAGCAGTGTGCTATCACTGAACCACCCTCCAGTCTCTTTGGTTTTATTTCCTTTGCCAAGTGTGTGATTGCAGCGTCTAATCAGTTTCATTGGAATTAAGTGTCTGGCTGTTGTCGCTGCTGATGACCGTACTGGGCTCCCGTAGTGTAAATATGTTTTAGAGAAGACTTTTCTCACTCAGAACTAAGGCATGGAACGGGTAAGTTTCACAGCCCTTGCCTTGAGTGGCAGCTTTTTTCTTCTTCTTCTTACTTACCGTTTTATAGTCTCTGGTCTGACATCGACCCTCTGAGAGCCCCGTGATTGTCTCCTACTACCGCTTCCCTGAAAGATTATAGATTACTTGAAGTTGATGACAGTTCAAAGACCCAGTGGAGTCGGTGCTCAACACCTCAGAGCGCTTTTAAGCCAGCTAAACAAGCAAGCACTAAGGATGTTTCACGAAGGAGGCAACGGGGAGGCACAGAGTTTCTCAGGGGCGGGGAGTCACGAGCCTCTCCGGCTGGGAAGTTTTCGACACGTGGCAGGACTGTGTTTCCCGCCCATAAGTTATCAGCGCAAGGCGGTGCTGTGTGGTCATTGCGAGCTGTCCTTTCCCACCAGGATGAGCCTGCCGGCAAACCAACTCAAGGAGCTCAGCCAGGAGTCTCTGCCCGTCAACCAACTCAAGGAGCTCAGCCAGGAGTCCAGGATCTTGGGCTTTGACCCGGACATTGTAAGTGCACCCCTGCTCAGCGGCTGCTCCCGTCGTCCTCCAACCCCCGCCGGATGCCGTTTTCGTTCGCCCACCCTCCAGTAGTCCCCCACTCCCACCCCCGGGGAGCATCTTCTTACGCCTGTCAGTAATCTCCTTTGATACCTGTGCTTTTCCCCCTCCCGCTCCACCAAGCTCTGTGCCTTCTCTCACTTGCTCTTTTCTTCCCTGGCTCACTTCACTTGGTCTGTGTTAGTTCCTGTGTGTGTCCCCTCTGAAAACCTCTGACTCTGCATAGTCCGGGGGTGGGGTGGAGAGGGTACTTAAGTCAGTCCTTTATTCTGCCTGATAGGGGTAGCCTGGCCAGCTCCCTCTGCCCCCAAAGAGTGCCCTGCTTACTTGCCTTCTCTCATGGGCTGGGTGAGAGGACTTTGGGAGCACAGCGGCGGCGTTCGCTGTGTGCAAAGCCAGGAGGAGGAGAAGGGAGAAAGAGTAACTAATGAGGATAACACTGGGGCTATTCTCACAGTAGTGCTAGACCCCAAGAAGGAAGGGTGGGCATTTTATTGAAGAAGTCTATACATGTCCACACAGGAAAGCACACACTCAGTTTTAGTTCATAGATAGATCAAACGCTCAGAGGCTCAGGATGTGGCTCAGTGGGAGGATCAGGACACAGTCCCCAGCACTGCCAACAAAACAGGAACAAGAAATAATGAGAATCATTCTTTAACTGAATTCCACAGCACAGGCCCGCAATCCTGCTTAGGCTTTTGGAGACTATCTTTAAAAACAAAAAAACAAGCCCGGTGGTGGTGGCGGTGGTGGCACAGGCCTTTTATCCCAGCACTTGGGAGGCAGAGGCAGGCCTCTGTGAGTCTCTCTGTGAGGTCTCTGTGAGTTCAAGGCCAGCCTGGTTCACTGAGGAAACCCTGCCTAGAAAAACTAAACAACAACAAAAACAAGCAAACAAAAGACCAAACCAACCAAACAGCAACAAAACAAAGGAAAGGGGAGATAGCCAACGTGAACTCTGTCAGCACACGCTCACTCTGTGAGGACATGCTCACTCTGTCAGGACACGCTCACTCTGTTAGGGTGGTTGCCTAAAATAAATAAATAAACAAACAAACAAATAAATAAATAAATCAGAAAACTCAATGAACTTCCCCAGAGTTTTAGTTGAAATTAAAGAAGAGACAGCTTTGAGAGTGTGATAAGTAGGTGGCATGCCACCCCCTCCCATTTAGTGTAGAAGTTAGCCCCTAAAGGTGCCTGCCCCATTTAGCACCTAACAGTAAGTCTGGGTACACGCTGAGAGAATAAAATTCTTATTCTCGGCAGCACTGAGTCAGGGGAGAGAGCAGACCCAGAAGCAGGGCAAGCGGCTCCTTCCAATAGTGTGATGACTATGTCATTGCCGGCTGTTTTCAAAGCTACCCGCCTAGTGTCAAGGGGTTCAGCACTTAGGTGTTCCATCGTCCCTGCTCAAGAAGGGCTTTTGTGAGTTCCTGGGTGAAGGCCTTGCAGGGAGCCGGCACTGAGCTTGATGCCAGGTAGGGGAAGATCTGCGTTTATCAGCATACCAGGTCCTGCTGCGGATCGGGGCCAAGGGTGAACTTCCTTCACTCTAACAGGTATTCATTGAGTGTCTCTGGTGTGCTGAGCCCTGCTAGTGGGTGCTGGTGACTCGTATGGCAGAGAGGAATAGCTTTCCCCTTTCAAACCTCCCAGTCTAATGGAGGATCAGCAAACGGGATCCCAAGTGAGAGGCTACTGTAACCTTAGAATGACTTGTCACTCTGGGGTCATAAGACCACCCTTCTGGAAGGCCCCTGGGGAACCTTTAATCCCAGGCAGAGGCACTGGGACACGCAGAGCTCTGAGTTCAAGGTCGGCCTGGTCCAAGGAGTGAGTTCTAGAATAAACAGGACTACACAGAAATGCCATCTCAAAGAAAGAAAGAAAGAAAGAAAGGAAGGAAGAAAGAAAGAAAGAAAGAAAAAAGGATTGAAAAGAAAGAAAAGAAAGATGGGTAGACTCAGTGATAGGAAGCAAGCCGTAAGAGAGTGAAGTCCTGAGGGCTTGGGACCCCAACCCGCCATGGATAGAGGGAGGCTGCAGTAGGTGATTTTGTTCTGCTTTGCTAGAGGCCAAGCAGTAGGCCTGTTGCAAAGAGCCTGGGAAACCTCAAGCTATTCAAGTGTTTAGTGCAGGAGACTCAGGTTTGCTTCAGAGAAAAGGAACTCTGGTTTGAGTGTGCAGAATGGATCCAGGGGTAGGCCCTAGCAAGGGCCACAGAACTTAGCAAAGCAACAGGACTGCCAGGACTTGGTGGTGAGTAAGTGTGTAGGGGAGACTAAGATCAAGGAAAAACCACATTATGCTGGGCTTCTGACTCAGCTAACTGGGAAACAGCAGAAGGGGTCAATGTTGGGGGCCTGAGAACATCTGAGTGGAGATGCCACTCATTCACTCAGCTGGGGGAGGGGAGGCTCAGATAATGTATGAATGCTGGGTAGACCCAGGAAGGTGTAGGGACCCTTCTGACCAAACTGGGTGAGAGATAAGCCAGGTCCCTCCCTGCATCTCCATGGCTGTCACAGACTCCACACCCAGCAGGTTCCCCCCAGAGGCAAAGTCTCTGCCAGCCACTCACCAAGGCTTTCCCACCCACCCAGGAACTGGCAAGGGGATTGGTAGTAAAGATGAAGAGGGGCCTTCCACCAGAGAGTAAAAAGAAGTTCATCGTTCTAGGAGCACACTGGGCAGTGTGTATGGATGAGATAGGAAGCTAAGATTTGCAGAGGCTGGGTACTTTGCGGAGAAAGAATTTTTTTTTTTAAAAAAGACACAGAATAAAGAAGCTTGTGGACAGGGCTGAGGTCTTATAAGATAAACAACACAGTGTCGCGCAGGGTGGTAGAGTAGGAAACTAGTTTTGCTTTGTTTGAAATGGGGTCTTGTTGTATAGCCACGGCACAAACACTTCTGAGCCTCCTGAGTGCTGAATGACATTTGGGCTACCACAGCTTAGCTAGGAAAATGGTTTCTGTAAATTAGCTTCAGAAATTTAGTTTTTTGAAACAGGATTTCACTGTGTAGTCCTGGCTGTTCTGGAATTCACTCTGTGGACCAGGCTGAAGTTGAACTCAGCGAGATCTGTCTGCCTCAGCTTCCCGAGTGCTAGGATTAAAGGTGAGCACCACCACTGCCCAGCTGGAGAGGACTTTTGAGGCGGCTGGGTGGATTAGACTTTGAGAGTTGCCAAGATTTGAGTTCTCTGTGTCCATCTTGCTTCCGTTTTCACAGAGGTCAAGGCTTAAGGTAAGGAGTGAGCTTCCTTCCCCAGGCAGGGAGCTAACATGGGCTTCAGTGAGGCAGGACTTGGCATGGGCTGGAACACCCACCCTGAGGTGTTAGACCGTCTGGTGGGCATTTGGTCCTAGGTGCACTTCATCACTCCCCTGGTCTGTGCATCTCTCCTCTGGGTTTTCTCTATCTGTAAAATGAGGGCACTGAGAGGACCTAGAAGCCGAGCGCCTGCAGAATAGGAACTGCCAGCAGAATGCTTTATTCAAGGTTTAGTCTGTAGCTCCTTGATAATTCCCTGCTCAGACGAGGTGAACTCAAGGTTAACCAAACAGCCTTGCCAAGGGGCCTTGAAGTCTAGGGAGGCGGACGTTCTGAGTTTGGTTTCCTCAGCTGTATGATCTGGGTCCTTCTTCTCCTGCCACACCCCCCCACACAGCTGAAATAGCCCCTGTAGGACTTGTTGACTTGGTAACTCAGTGCTTCCCACCCCAGCAGCTGGCTTGTTTTGGGGTCTCCTAATTCCAGGACAGTACTTAAATCCTAAGAGGCTGTGAGACAGACAGGTTGAGAATGAGGCCATGCCTACCTCAAAATGAAGGACCGTCCCCATCACTGGCCCCCACCCTGACCTGTACTTGAACCTTCAGGTTGTAAATGCAGCCTTCACTTTTATCACTGCAGACAGCACCTCCCCTGGTAGGTTGTTGCGGTGTGTCTCCTCGACTGTTGGTTCACGCCACCGTTTGTGTCTGCAGGTTGTGGAGCTGAACGTAGGTGGACAGTTCTACACCACCACCATGGGCACCCTGATGAAACATCCAGGCTCAAAGTTCTCCGAGATATTATCCCGATCAGCAAAATTCTACAAGGATGCCCACGGCCGCTTCTTCATTGATCGTCCTGGCACCTACTTTGGGCCTATCCTGGACTACCTACGCACTGGGCAAGTGCCCACAGAGAACATTCCTGAGGTTTACCATGAGGCTAAGTTCTACCAGATCCATCTCTTGGTGAAGGTTTTGGAGGATATGCCCCAGATCTTCGGTGAGCAGGTGGCTCGCATGCAGTTCTTGCTGGGAGTGCCAAACTACAGGGAGAACCTGGAGGTCCTGTTGCACCTGGCTCGGGCAGAGGCCGTGGCAATGCGCTCGTCCAAGGTGGTGGTGTGTGTGGTGCACACGGAGGAGGAGGAGGCCAAGTGCATGGAGCCGCTGCATATCCTGGAGGCCAAAAAGACACCTGTCGTCAAATTTGGGCCCTGGAAGGCAGGCCCTGGGACGGAGGACTTTGTGTACTGCCTGGAGAAGGACATTAGAGCCAAGGGGTATATGGTGTCCCCTCAGAGGTACCATCTGAGCAAGGACCCGTACACATGCTTCTGGATATTCATCTTCACTTGGTGGTGATCCATAGGAGTGGGGACTGTTTGTTAGTGGCTGTGGTGGAACTTGTGAAACCAAGTTCTAAAGCTGGGCCTGTAGCTCCAGTACTTAGGAGGCTGAGGAAGACTAACCACCATGAGTTAATTTTTTTTTTTTTTGGTTGTTTGAGACAGGTTTTCTGTGGCTTTGGAGCCTGTCCTGGAACTAGCTCTGTAGACCAGGCTGGTCTCGAACTCACAGAGATCCGCCTGCCTCTGCCTCCCGAGTGCTGGGATTAAAGGTGTGTGCCACCACCGCCCGGCACCACCACGAGTTCAAAGCTAGCCTTGGATATAGATTGAGACCCCACCGAAACAGCTCAGGAGAGGTCAGACTGTCCACACCTGTTCCCCTCTGGAGCCTCATCCTGCTGGCTGGAATAAAGTAGGGTTTCTCCTGTCTTCTGGGAAATGAAGCTTATCAATGTTTAACAGATAAAAAGGTTCCTCCTTGCTTGCTGGGAAATAACCCTGATGCAAAAACTCCTCTAGCCTGCACCTGGTGTGACATCATTGTGTTTTGTCTTTATAAATCCTTAGTGCTCAAGTTAGGGGCCAAAAGTTCTTTGTGGCAGGACTGTCTCAACAGCCACAGATTAAATAAAGGACTCTGATCTGGCCTCGCGTCTGTAACTTCCTCCAGTGGATTGTAACAGTATTTTTAACACAGTAGACCTTGCCTGGTGGTCCAGACCTTAAATCCCAGCTGGGAGGCAGAGGCAGGTGGACCTCTTGAGTTCAAGGTCAACCTGGACTGCTGAGGGAGTTCCGGATCAACCAGAGCCTTACAGAGAGCCCTGTGTCAAAGAAAAAAAAAACCACAAAAACAAGTTGGGCAATGGTGGCACACGCCTTTAATCCCAGCACTCTGGAGGCAGAGACAGGCGGATCTCTGTGAGTTCGAGGCCAACTGGGTCTACAGAGCAAGTTCCAGTACAGTCAAAAGCTACACAGAGAAGCCAGGCGGTGGTGGCTTTTGACTGTACTGGGGAGGCAGAGGCAGGAGGATCTCTGTGAGTTCAAGGCCAGCCTGGTCTACTAGAGCTAGTTCCAGGACAGGCTCTAAAGCTACTGAGAAACCCTGTCTCGACAAACAAAAACAAAGCAAAAAACCCACAAAAATAAACAAACAAAAAACCAGTGCATAAATACATTTGTTGTGCAAATTGAGGGCTTAAGTTGGATCTCTAGAGCCCACAGTGAAATAACAGAACTGGCTTTTAAGAATTATCCTCTGAGCTCCATAGGTATGCTGTGGCATACATGCACCCAGGTGGGTGCCCACACACATACACAGTTAAAGAAACAAAATGGGGTTGAAAAGATGGTTCAGTAGGTAAGAACACCCTGGTGCAGTAGTTTACACCTTAACTGCTTATAATGCTGGCTCCAGGGAGGTCCAATGCCCTCTTCTGTCCTCCACAGGCAACTACACCCTCGTGTACATAACTCTCACACAGACAAAAACGGGCTAGCCTGATGGCCCAACAGTAAAAAGAATTTGCCTCCAAGCTTCATCCCTGGCACCCACACACAAGAATAGGGTTGTCATTTGGCCTTCATACAAACAAACAAACAAATACAAAAAGTTGAAGCCATTTTCTAGCCTAGCACCATGGCATATACTTGCAATCCCAGAGTTTGTGGAGTTGAGGCAGGAGGATCCCATACTCAAGGCAACTTCTGGCTCAATAATGAGACCCTGGATCAAAATCTGAAATCAGAAACAAAATACTTGTCCAAGCAAATGGCAGACAGGTCTGAACCTGGAGTTGCGATAGGGCTGGGCTGGATCACTTCCAAGTTTATAAGAACTCAGCCTTTTAAAAAAACAGCAAGGCACATAAAAACTTAGGCCCCACCGGGTGGTGATGGCGCACACCTTTAATCTCAGCACTCAGAGGCAGGCAGATCTCTGTGAGTTCGAGGCCCGCCTGGTCTAGAAGAGCTAGTTCCAGGACAGGAACCAAAAAGATACAGATAAACCCTGTCTCGAAAATCAAAACAAAACAAAACAAACAAACAAAAACTTAAGGCCCCAAGAAGTCTGGTTCCTGAGTTTAGATTACAAGCATGAGCTACAGCATCTAACTCACTTCAGTCCTTTCGGGGATAAAAGAGGAAAACTTTTTTCCTGGCTTATTGGTTGCTTTCCTGTTCCTACACTCAAACCACAGTGCCCAAGGCAACTCATAGAGTCTTAGGTTCCAGAGGGATAAGAGTCCACTGGGACACAGGGACAGCTGAGCTCACGCCTGGAACCGCAAGCAAAAAACAGTGATCTGGGAATGGTGCAGGGCATCTAAAACCTCCCAGTGACACACTTCCTGGAGGAATCCAGGAAGACCACGCCTCCTTAATCTATCCAGTTGGTCTCTTCGACCAGTTCCTTGCATGCTTGCTTTCTGAAGTAATGGATGAGCAAAATGCCAAAGGCAGGTTGGAGGTTAGGTTCTGCAGTGTGGACTTCAACCTTGCCGCTGACGTGTCTAACCTGCCCACAGCGGACACTGAGGCTTACCTCCTGAGAGTACATCACTTTGCAGGGGACTCTTTTATATATATATAATATATATAACATATATATGTATATTATACAATATTCTGTCTGCATGCCTGAAAGCCAGAAGAGGGCACCAGACCTCATTACTGACAGTTGTGAGCCACCATGTGGTTGCTGGGAATTGAACTCAGGACTTTTGGAAGAGCAGGCAATGCACTTAACCTCTGAGCCATCTCTCCAGTCCTGCAGGGGACTCTTTAGCAACAAAGCTGACCTCAAACTTGCTGTTGCTAAGGACGACCCTGAACTCCTGACTCTCCTGGTTCCTCCTCCCAAATGCTGGTATTCTGGGCATGGGCCACCACACCTGGTTCCTTTGGGGATGATGTGGATTGAACAGAATGCTTCCCACATGATAGACACCCATTCTACCAAGAGAGCTACCTCTCCATTCCACAGGCACTCTGTGGTGGCAGATTTATTTCACTGCCAATCAGTCAGCTCAGCTAACTCTAACAAACTGTTGGGAGACATGCCGGCATTTCTGAGCAAATGGCACTGACAGCTTTGTTTGATGATGTTTACAGATCTGCTGAGAGGCTAGGAGCAGTTTTACTTTCTGTAATGGGGTAATAAAACTAGCACAACCCTCCCTTCTTGGAGCTCTTTCAGGGTGCTATGACTCTCTGCCATGGATGGGAAGGCATGGTTGTTTCTGGGCAGTATAACAAAGTCTGTCTCCAAAGGTGTGCATTAATGCTCAAGTCAAATCTATTATATTGTTACTTCTGCTATGTTCTGCCTGCAATTTTTAATGTCAACCAGAATTCAAAGGCTGGGAAGATGGAGTCTACTTTTCTTTTCTTTTGTTTCAGTGAGCCGGGTCTTACTGAGTGGCCAGAAACTCCTTATATAAACCAGACTGGTCTGGAACTTTCACAGAAATCTGCATACCCCTGTCTCTGGAGTGCTGAGATTAAAGGTGTGTGCCACCCCACCTGGATGACCCTATCTTTTAATGGAAGAAGTCTTAAAGTCATATTGACAGGGTTACACATAGAGCTAGCAGCAGGATCTTTGCTGAGAGAGCACACATGTAAACACACACACACACACACAGAGTGAAGTCTAAGGAAATGGAGCTTTTATGCTTTTTAGACAGAGAACAATAAATCTGTGAAGGATGGCCTGATAATTGAAGACATAGATCAGATGACAAGCTCTAGAGACATTCCTCAGAGACATGTCGGGGCAGAATGGAAAGCTAAGAGAAGAGAAAGGCTACTTCATAGTTTACTCCAGTTCACCGCAGTTCCAATAGCCAGTTTCTAGTGGTTAAAGCTTGGCACGTGAGTGACATTCGTCCTATGGTGTTCGTTAGCACGGCTTTATACAGAGGTGTGTTTGTGTGTGCACGCGAGTGTGCTTTTGAGACAGGTACTCTCACTAGACTTATTGATAATTTGGCTAGGCTGACTGCCCTGTAAGCGCTAGGGTTCTGCTTGTCTTTGACTTCCTAGAGCTGAGGGTACTGATCCCCACCTCTATGCCTGGCTCTTGTATCGGTTCAGGGGTTCCAGTGTGTGGTAGGAACATAACTGACTGGGCCACCTCCTTACTATCTTCTACTCGACTGTGTGTGTACACACACACGTGGAGGCCAGAAAATAACCTTGGGTGTCCTTCCTTCAAATGACCAGGACCTAGATTTAGACATCCGGTACCCAGACCCGGTGTGGTGAAGCATGCCTGTGATGTCACCGCTGGATCTAGTCAATCTAGCCAAAACAGCATCAGGGTCAGGGGTCAGTGAGAGGCACTGTCTCAAGAAGCGAGGTGGAACCAGTTGAGGAAGATGCCCAACACTGACCTTCAGCTTCTATAGCTATCCATGGACACACCATGGACACGCCACTCATACACACAAGGATTTCACTGTTAATTTAATTTAGTGTTTGCCACTGATTTGAGGAGCTGAAGCCTTCGAAATCTTTTCCTTAGGCTGCTTTAATAATATGGAACGCTTCACGAATCTGCACGGGCTCAGCTCAGTATCATTCCAATTTTATCCTGAGGTTGTTTGGTTCCCCATCTGTAGGATGGCCTTGAGTTCTGTACTGCCTGGGGGCTGGGGTCACAGATTGGGGCACCATACTTTGTTTTGCTTGGCATGCAAACAAATGGTTTTCAGCATGGCATTTTCATAATCATGTCATTGTGTTTTGACTGTATTCATTTCTTGAGCCACTACTTTTAGTTTCAGTTTTGTTAATTTTCCACATAAAATTATGGTTAGCACATGCTTGCCTTAAACTTCTTATAAAGCTCAGGCTAGCCACTAAGAGTCTCCCCGTGGTTGGGAGTACAGGGACAAATCCATCTAGCTAGTGGTCTTACATTTATTAGCAATTGGGTTTGAGAGGATAGCCAAATATTGGAATAGTAAGAACAGCTAATATTTATTCAAGAAACTGCTAATTATTTTGTTTGATACAGCATATGCTCTGCTGTCTCTGAAGTCTGAGATATCGTCTTTTTCTATGGAAAATGTACCCTTAAAAGGGGGGGGGGGTTGGAGAGATGGCTCAGTAGTTAAGAGCGCTGGCTGCTCTTCCAGAACTCCTGAGTTCAATTCCCAGTAACCACATGGTGGCTCATAACCATCAATATTGAGATCTGGTGCCCTCTTCTGGCCTGCAGCATACATGCAGATAGAACATTGTATACATAAGAAAAAAAATCTTTTTTTTTTTAATTTTTCTTTTTGGTTTTTGAAGACGGGGTTTCTCTGTAGCTTTGGAGCCTGTCCTGGAACTAGCTCTTGTAGACCAGGCTGGCCTCAAATGCACAGAAATTGGTGCACCTGCCTCTGTTTCCTGAGTGTGTATCACCACTTGGCTGTGGCTTACCAGCTAAAGTTCCAGTGTCGGTCTCCAGTGGAGCTACATGGTTTCTCTCTAACTCTGCCTCCTTTCTCCAAGCATTCAGTTTAGTTTTCCCCGCCTACCTAAGTTCCACTCAATCAACAGTTCAAGGCAGTTTCTTTATTCACCAATGGTATTCATAGCATAGAGGGGAATCCCACATCAACAGAGCAAGTTCCAGGACAGCCAAGGCTACACAATAAAATCCTGTCTCAAAAACAAAATTACACAGAGAGAGAGAGAGAGAGAGAGAGAGAGAGAGAGAGAGAGAGAGAAAGAAGATAACCTTTAATGTGTTTGGGTCCTTGTACTTACTAACCTCCTGTTTCCTCCCCTAAATATCCCATATTAACTTTCTTTTCTTGTAAGTTGTAAAACTTCACAGTACCACATACATTCGCTTACAGGCTGTTCTTGTTTCTCTACTGTTTCATTCCATTGTAAGCATGTTTTTGTCAGGTTATGCATGATCGGTACGTTTGTACCAGAGGCTCAGAACTTTGGCTTCCTCCTCAGACTCAAGATTCTTTCCACTCCTCCACAGCTATCAGAGGAAATGCTGGTTCCTCTCCAGAGACACGGGGAGCACAGCACGCTGACCCGTCCGACAGAGGCTTGGTCCCAGCATTCTTGAATCTTTTATTTATTTATTTTTTAATTTACTTTTTATCTGCATGTCTGCCTGCAGACCAGAAGAGGACGCCATATCTCATTACAGATGGCTGTGAGCCACCATGTGCTTGCCGGGAATTGAACTCAGGACCTTTGGAAGGGCAGGCAATGCTCTTAACCACTGAGCCATCTCTCCAGCCCCCGGTCCCAGCATTCTTGAATCTTTTATTTATTTTTTAATTTACTTATTATCTGCATGTCTGCCGGCCAGAAGAGGACGCCATATCTCATTACAGATGGTTGTGAGGCACCATGTGGGTGCTGGGAATTGAACTCGGGTCCTCTAGGGAAGCAGCCAGTGCTGTTATCCGTTGAACCATCTCTCCAGCCCAGCATTCTTAAATCTTTAGTCTTATAGTAGTATCATTCAGGAAAATGACCTCAAACCTTTCACTATTGCTCCAGGAAGCTTTTGGCTATATTTTGTGTGGTTTCCAGGTTTTGTTGTTTCTCAGGACACACCTCAGGGTTTGACGTCCACGTCTGCACCACACGCCTCAGCCTTGGACGCGATCCCGCCTTCAGGACGCGCCCGGACTTCCGTTTCCGCTGGAGCCAAGGCAGCCGGGTGACCGGGCCGTAGAGCTTCAGGAAGCGGCCTCTCTATCCTGGAGCCGCAGTGCCTTGTGGGATCGCGGCGGAGTTTGGGGTGACAGAAGTGCTCCCCCCACCCCCCGCCCCGCGCGCGCTCGCCCAGAGTACGGAAGCCGAGAGGGTCTGGCGCAGCCATGGCGGCGCACCTGAAAAAGCGGGTGTATGAGGAGTTCACGAAAGTGGTTCAGGTAAGCGCTGGCCGTCGGCGCGGGAAGGTCGTCCTCGCCCCAGGCTGTGCTTCCACTGGGGCGTCCTGGCTCACGTGACCCGGTCCGGTTCCGGCTGCGCGTCGGGGGCGTGTGAGGTCGAGGCCGCTGGTCTCGCGTGTAGTCTGACTTTTTCTTTTTCTTCTTTTTTTCTTTATTTATTTTTGTTCTGGGGATAGAATTCAGGGTCCTACGCGTGCTAAGCATCACTCTACGTCTGAATCACACTCCCAGCCCACTTTAGAAACAAGTCACCCACACCAAAAACCACACACAAACACCAAGATTATTAGGAGAAACAAAGTGCCGAATAATTTTTCAAACTCTCTTCTCGGTTACGTTACTCTGATCTCTCACCGCTCGCTCGTGCCAGATCGGGTTCCGTCTGCATCCTCCTGCCCTCAGCTGCTGGCGGAATCCTCCTAACTCTCGCTCCCTCGCTTCAGAGACAAATGGGAAAATAAGCCAAGGGGTCTGTAGAATTCTGGCCCCAGACAGAGCAGGCGAGAGTCGCAGGACTGCCTCTTCGTCGTCCTCCGTCGGAGTTTCTGATAGGTGGACCAAGCCTGTCAGGACAGTCACTGTGTTCTGTAGCGTGTCTGTAGAAGAGGTGAATCTTCATTCTGCATCTCAAATTTCTGTATCTATACATGTATGTATAAAATGTGATGCAGCATTTAGATATTTTTTCTTTTCTTTCTTTTTTATTTATTTTTATTTTTATATTTGGTTTTTAGAGGTAGAGTTTCTCTGTGTAGCTTTGGAGCCTTTCCTGGAACTCACTCTGTACACCAGGCTGGCCTCGAACTCACATAGATCCACCACCTGGGTGCTGGGATTAGAGGTGTGCACCACCACCGCCCGGCTTTTTTTTTTTTTTTTTAAGTACTTAGTGATTTCGGTGTGCCATGTATGGTGGGAAGTCTTTGGCTACAAAGTCCGATGTGTATCAGAGCACCTGCCTCTTGGGAGCACGTAAAGGGAGAGCCAGAACAGTGTGTCAGCACCCCTGGAACCAGAGACTGGAGTTACAGACTGTTGTGGGGCACCGTGTGGGTGCTGGGAGAGTGAGAACAAGTGCTCTTAGCCCTTAGTCACGTCTTAGCCAGGTGGTGGTGCCACACACTTCTAATCCTAGCACACAGGAAGCAGAGGCAGGCAGATTTCTTTTTTTTTTTTTTTTTTGGTTTTTCGAGACAGGGTTTCTCTGTGGTTTAGGAGCCTGTCCTGGAACTAGCTCTGTAGACCATGCTGGTCTCGAACTCACAGAGATCTGCCTGCCTCTGCCTCCTGAGTGCTGGGATTAAAGGCGTGCACCACCACCGCCAGGCTAAGGCAAGCAGATTTCTGAGTTCGAGGCCAGCCTGGTCTACAGAGCAAGTTCTAGGACAGCCAGGGCTACACAGAAAATCTCTCTTAGAAAACAAAAAACCAACCAACTAAAGACAAAGTCCTTATAGAGCACAGGTGCCTCAGACTTGCTGTGTAGCTGAGGTTGACTGTTAGCTTCTAAGCCTGCCTCCACTCCTCTTTATGCAGGGCTGTGGATTGAACCTAGGGTCTCCAATGTTCTAGGCTTTACTCTACAAACTGAGCTACATTCCCAGCAGCCTCTTGTGATAGCTTTGAGGGAAATTAGTTCTGAACTTTGGGTCAGGGGGTCCAGCTTTCCAGAGCTCCTGCACCCATGGCTTCCTTTCTGGGATTTTTGGGTCTGTATTCCTCCCTTCCCTCTCCCCGTATCTTCATTAACGGTTTATTTTTATTTGTGTGTATGTCTGTGTGAACGTGTCCCATGTGTTTGCATACCACTGCAGCTGGAGTTAAACATACTTGTGAGCCACCAGACCCGGGTGCTGGGAACTGCACTTGGGTCCTCCGAATGACAGCCAGTGCTCCTAACCACCAAGCATCTCTCTAGCCCCGCCCCAGTTCCTTTCCGTTGTGGAAAGTATAGGTGGAGCCTAACGGGGTTGGTTGCTTTGTTTGTTTTGCTTTTTTTTTATTTTTTTACGTTGGAGGCATTCAAAGCAATTATGTTGTTACATAGTCTCGCTGCTTTCTCCCCCACATCTCTGAACTCATGCAGATGTCTGTTTTACACAAAATGTATGCCATTCTTTATTTCTTTGTGTGCTGTATCCCGAGTGGCCCTGTGCCTTTGCTTTAAGACCTGACTGAAGGTTCGGGTTAGTTTCTGCTGCTGCTCCCATGCCGCTGTGCTGTGCTCTCCTGTTGGCTCTCCTCACCTGGCGCTGCTGAGGTGCCAGTGTACGTGTGTCCCCATCAGCATGTTCCCTGATGGCAGAAGTAATGGGACCTGGCTCCCTAAAACAGTACTCGCCATGGCAGAGATTATTCCCCTCCTTACGTATCCCCTGAGAGAAAAGTCAGTCCTCGGTTTTGAGCCAACTGCAGTCCAGGTAACTCTGAGAACTAAATCTGGTGTCAGAGCCTCCCACCTCTGCCTCCCAGGCGCCGAGGTCGCAGGTGTCCACAGGCAGCCGTCAGAAAACTCACTTTAGAGTGTTGTGTGCACAGTTAGCACAGAGCGAGGAAGTGAAATCTTTGTGCTCTTGGTGCTTCTTTCTTTGTTAGGAAAATGAGGAGGAAGAGGGGACCCGCGTGTGTCTAGTGCTTATCACATGTAAGTACAGTCAAACAGTAATTTACGTTTCTCATGGTTGGCATGCTCTTCATAGAGAGGAGACAGCGTCAAGGACGTAGAATTCTCGTGATTTCAGAGCTGCTTTCTTCATGTCATACAACGTTCCTGACTACAGTTTTCCTGATAGAGCAAACTTGAGGGAGATGATTGCCACCTGCCCTAAAGTAATATGTTAGAGAATAAAGAAAATTAGTGATTATGACATTTTTCTATACCTGCATACTTTGTTAGGACTTAAGGAATTATAGCGCTTAAGCATTTTTTTTTTGTTTTTTTTTGAGACAGGGTTCCAGGCTGGCCTCGAACTCACAGAGATCCGTCTGCCTCTGCCTCCTGAGTGCTGGGAATTAAAGGCGTGCGCCACCATTGCCGGGCTAAGCATTTTTTTTTAAAACATTTACTTCTTTTGTACAACTGTGTGTGTGTGTGTGTGTGTGTGTGTGTAAGAGTGGGTTCTGGTGATGGAACTCAGGTCACTGGCAGGCTTGGTAGCAAGCACTTTTACCGACTGAGTCATCTCACTGGCCTTATGATGCTGTGTTTCTGAAGTTCTGTTAGCTAAGCGCGTGTGTTAGAGAGGAAAAATTATTTCCACCCGACAAGCCCAAGTTAAATTTGAGGTCTCTGTTTTCGCATCTTCTCTTTGCCTTCTTACAGCAACAGCAGGAGGAAATCGCCACCAAGAAGCTCCGGCTGACAAAGCCTAGCAAGTCTGCCGCCCTCCACCTCGACCTGTGCAAAGCCAGCTCCCCAGCAGATGCTCTGCAGTACCTCCTCCAGTTTGCCAGGAAGCCCGTGGAGGCCGAAAGCGTGGAGGGGGTAGTCAGGATTCTCCTAGAGCATTATTATAAGGTAAGCAGCTGGTGGGGTCCTTGTCAGAGCTGGGCTGTGCCTGCCTGCAGAGTGGGTTCACAGTGCCAAGCAGCAGGAAGGTATTCCTCTGCGAGGCACCGTGGATGCCAAGATGAGGCGAGGTGCGCAGTCTGCAGAAGCTTGCAGGGTGGTTAAGTGGAGAAAGGCATGTAGATGGCTGGCTCAGAGGACAGTGAACTCTACGTAGAGCGGAGTGAGGGCACAAAGGAAGAGTTGGTGTCAGCCGTGTCTCTTCCGTGTTCAGCCCTGGAATGTGGTGTGCCCATTATCCCGCTGTCCTGTTGATTTAAGGCCTTCACACGTGCTGTAGTCGCCCTCTTAACAGCGCAGGGTGGCCTCAGACCCCCAGGACTGGAGTTATCAGAGGTCCTCTGCAAGAGCCGCAGCTGCGCTTAACTGCCTAGCCATCTCTAGCTCCTATTTATATTCTTTTTGGTTTTTTGAGATGGGGTTTCTCTGTAGCTTTTGGAGCCTGTCCCAGCACGTGGGAGGCAGAGGCAGGTGGCTCTCTGTGAGTTCGAGGCCATTCTGGACTACAGACCAAGGTCCAGGACAGCCAGGGCTATTGCATAGAGAAACGCTGTCTCAAAAAGCCAAACCAAGCCAAACAACCAAACAAACAGAAGCTGGATGCTGTGGCACATCTGTAATCCCAGCACTCCTATGGAGAAATGGAGGCAGAAGCAGGAGAACCATCTAGAAGTTTGTAGACCCATTAGCTTGCAGTGTGTAGCACAACAGAAACAAGAGAGACCCATCTTTAACGAGGTGGAAGCAGTGAACCAACTCAGAAGTTGTCTTCTGACCACCACCCATGTGCTGTGGTGCACTTGTACCTACATAACACGTGCGCACACAGCGCACACACAAGTAAATGGGAAATCAAAAAGGAAAGCACAACCCCAAATATCTAGGTGAGGAGTCGGGTGGTTGTGATCACAGGTGGGTGGCAGTTTGATTTCTTCCAACCCCGGTTTAAATACTTGGGTCACTGTCATAGAAAGATGACTTAATGTCAACACTGATGAGGCCCCCCCCCAAGTTTGTATCTTCATTTATCTTCTTTTCAGTGCTGGTGTTGCACCTCACTCTTGACTGTACAGTGTGGTGAAGGAAGGGGAGAAACTTCCAACCACAGCCACCTTGGCGACTGAGCCCCTGCCCGTCAAGCTGACGAGACATCTCGTTGTTGTTTTTCCTTTGCAGCTGATCAGTTCCACTCTCCTGTCCCGACCTTCTGAACAGGATCTGGTGATCCACAAGCGTTGGTGATAAAGGGTTTTTCCTAGTGATCACAGTGGTGGACACCACCTCCACCACTCCTCCTTTTAAAAATCTATTTCTTAGTATACAGCGTTCTGCCTGCATGTACGCTGCAGGCCAGAAGAGGGCACCAGATCTCATTACAGATGGTTGTGAGCCACTTTGTGGTTGCTGGGAATTGAACACAGCACCTCTGGAAGAGCAGCCAGTGCTCTTAGCCGCAGAGCCTTCTTTCCAGCCCCTGTCACTCCCGCTCTCTATGACACTCCACAAGCTGTGGTTCCAGCAGCCATGGCGTTCAGTGCCTGCCTTGTCCATGGGGAAAGCGGCTCTGACATGCATGTCAGCTGCACGTTCTTTTAGTTGTCGCAGTTAGCAACATCAGGAAGACATAAGCATTTTCACTTGAGTACGGAGTGTCACAGTGGTAGAGGACGTGTCTTGAGTTGTATGAGTTACTTTCCGGAAGGGAAGCTCTAGAATATCTGGATCTGTGAATTTCCTCTGGGTGTGCTTTTCCCATGTCCTGTGTGTTCAATAGCTCAGGGCAGAGCAGCAAATGACAGTTGCTTTTTTTTTTCCTAGGAAAATGATCCATCTGTGAGACTGAAAATTGCGTCATTGTTGGGCTTGTTATCAAAGACGGCAGGATTCTCTCCAGACTGCATAATGGATGACACCATTAACATCCTACAGAATGAAAGTACGTTGTGACTTAAAGGCTGTGTGGTCAGAGCAGAAGTCTAGTTCTTTACGTACATAAGAATTTACAACCAAGTTTTGTGTTGGTTGTTATTAAAAGAAACTTTTTTTTTTTTAAAGATAGGGTCTTGGCTGGATGGTTGTGGCGCACACCTTTAATCCCAGCACTAGGGAGGCAGAGGTACACCAATGTCTGTGAGTTCAAGGCCAGCCTGGTCTACAGAGTGAGTTCCATGACAGGCACCAAAGCTATACAGAGAAATCCTTGGAGGCCAGAAATGGGAGTTGGCTCCCTGGGAGCAGAATTACAGGCAGCTGTGAGCTGCCTGATGTGGGTGTTGGGAAATGAGTTTCAGTCCCTGTGTTAGGAACAGGCTCTCTAGCCCAGGATTCAAGATTTAGATTTGATCTTTGATTTGTTAGCTTTTCGTGGATGTTATATAAAGTTGTCTTTCTAAGGAAATAAATCAGTTTGGTGGCAGTGGGGATGTCATTGCCTCTTCTGTTTCCTGACACTGCCTTTCGTATCTGTGGCTTGTGTCACACTTGAGCCCTTTCTGCAATTTGAACTGAGGGCCCTGACATGGTGGAGAAGTGTCCACCACAGAACTAAACTCCTGACATGCGCAGGATCACTGAACTACCTGAAATCCCTTATAGCCACCAACATGATGAGGACTGCATTCTGAAGACGGAAGGACACGCACACACGTGTGTGCTTTGTGTGTTTGCTCAAGTTTTACTTCTGCTTTCACATGTTTTGCTTATGAAACTACTCCTCTGGTCACGTTAGGCAGTGATTTCAGCCGGCAGCAGATCTGTGTAATATTCACTGTCAGAACCCAATCCATCAGGACATGCACACAAGTAAAGACGTTCCAGAAGGGTCTGCTCGGAAAAGGATGATCTGGTTGAGAAAACTGACACAGAGTTTGTTAGCTGTGTTACTTTTAATTCGGCTCTTTGCCTTTGACTGGGTATTTATTGAGCACATGATGAGTTGTTGAGATTTTGAGACAGTAGAGGTGTCTACAGCATGGTCTTTCTGTTTCTGGTTCATGTGGTAGGAAAGAGAGTGAAGAAGAGATGGGCGGTTCTCTTGGGGAGCAGGACAGACTAGACGGAGTCACACTCAGGAATATTAGGGTCCCCTGAAGACTGGGAGGACACCTCTGGGTGGTCAGGGGGTTGTAGATGGCAGGAGGCAGAGGCAGCAGGATCGGGAGTTCTGCAATCTTCTGTCTTCACTGGGAGTCGGCTGCCCCAGGAGACCCTGTCTCAGGCAAGGGGAAGAGTTGAAAACGTGGAGAGAGAGCTACCCAGGGCAGGGTAGGTGCCAGGTGCCGTGGGAGGCCTGTTGTTTTGTTGTAAAGTCTCTCTCCTCACATGACCCCCACCCCTCATTTTTTTCCAGAGCTGAGGATTGAACCCATGGCCTTGTGCTTGCTAGGCAAGAGCTCTATCACTGAAGCTATATCCCCTTCATGTACTTTTTTGTTTGTTTGTTTGTTTTCTTTTGTTTTTTGTTCTTCCAAACAGGATTTCAAACCCAGAGATCTGCCTGCCTCTGCCTCCCAAGTGCTGTAATTAAAGTCGTGACCTCCATACCCAGCTCAGTATACTTTGTTTGTTTGAGTTTTGACACAGGGATGTTTTCCTGCTTTAGTCAACCTTTCTGATTCACCAGCCAAGCCCTAGTTCCTTGTGGAAGGCTATTGAATTCATCACATACTAAATGTTTTTGGAGGACCTACTTTGTGCACGGGACTATGCCCAGTCCTGTGGAAGTCTCAGATTTTCAAGACCAGGTTCCTTTGAATATTTAGCTTTTAGTTGAAGGGATGAAAGATTAGGCAGTAGAATATACGTGACAAATTTTAATAAATAAATAAGAATCAACATTTCTCCCAAAATCAGTTAGTGTTGGCAATGATCTCTGGGAGTTTTGTAACCCAGCCTTTTCTCTTTCCTAGAGTCTCACCAAGTCCTGGCTCAACTGTTAGACGCTCTGCTTGCAATAGGCAGTAAACTACCAGACAATCAAGCTACCCAGGTGCGCTTAGTGGATGTGGCCTGCAAGGTAAGAGTATACTGGTCTTCGTTCTTGAACCAAGAGCCTGTGGGAGCTTTGTGAACTCCGCTGGTGTAGTCTCTGAGAGAGAAGGGTAGGGCTCTCATTGACCGTGAACACTGCCTGGTGTAGTCTCCAGAGAAGGGAAGGACTCTCGGTGACCATGAACACTGCCCGGTGTAGTCTCCAGAGAAGGGAAGGATGCTCAGTGACTGAACACTGCCCGGTGTAGTCTCCAGAGAAGGGAAGGACACTCAGTGGCTGAACACTGCCCGGTGTAGTCTCCAGAGAAGGGAAGGATGCTCCCTGCACGAACACTGCCTGGTGTAGTCTCCAGAGAAGGGAAGGACTCTCGGTGACCATGAACACTGCCCGGTGTAGTCTCCAGAGAAGGGAAGGATGCTCAGTGACTGAACACTGCCCGGTGTAGTCTCCAGAGAAGGGAAGGACACTCAGTGGCTGAACACTGCCCGGTGTAGTCTCCAGAGAAGGGAAGGACGCTCAGTGGCTGAACGCTGCTCTCTTTAGTCGTTGGTGTTGGGGGGAAGTAAAGCTAAGTGCGGTAGTTATTCCTTAAAACAAGCGTGTTTATGTGTGTTAGGTGGGGGACAGGAGAGTCATGGCACATACTGGAAGTCAGAGGACGCCTTGTAAGCGTTGGCTTTCTCCTTCCACCTTGTTGTTTTGAGATTGGTATTGAACTTGGCTGCTACAGCCTTTGAGCCAACCTACTGGCCCCACTGTAATGATTCTTGTGAGAAATCACAGTAACTTGGGTTAAAGCAGTGCAAAGATGGACCATGTGGGTAGATTGTGAGAATCATTTAGAAAGTAGTCTTAAATTGATTTAGTTTATTTATTTATTTTTTTCTGACCCAGGCTGTCCTAGAACTTGCTCTGTAGCCCAGGCTGGCCTCAAACTCACAGAGTGTCATTGCCTATGCCTTCCAAGTGCTGGGATTAGGACGTGGACCACCACACCAACCTGTCCTTACTTTTTTTTTTTTTTTTTTGGTTTTTCAAGACAGGGTTTCTCTCTCGAACTCGAATCCCGAGTGCTGGGATTAAAGGCGTGCGCCACCGCCGCCCTGCTTGTCCTTACTTTTGATATAGACTGCTGCTGTTACTCAAGATGTGATTTTGTTACCCACTGTTAATGTGGAAATGGTGGCACTTTGTGACCTGACAGAGTGCACAACAGGCAACTGGCATCTGGGTCTCCTAAAATGTGTGTGTGGTTGTGGAGGTGCATTTGCCTGTGTGTGCCCGTGTGAGTGAGAGGTCCTGCCCAGGTGTCCTTGCCTGGCTGCTCTCTACGTTATTATTGAGACAAGGTTTTTTACTTGGAGTTGTCTTTTCTGGCCTGTGAGCCCCTCGGGCCCACCTGTCTGTGCCCTGCTCGCTGGGTGCCACTACAGGGCGGATTGGAACTCGGGTCTCCACGCTTGTGTGGCAGTCAGCTTATTCACGCCATTGCCCCAGCTCCGCTCGGCAGGCTTTGATGATGACCTTTCGGGAAGGACGTCATCATAGAATTCTGTTTGCTGCCTGAAGGTATGGTTCAGTGTGCTAAGATGGAGTAATATGTCGGTTCTGTGCCGCTGTTCCATTGCGGCCTTGATTGGCTAAGGTGTCAGTGCATCTGGAAATCAGATGAAGTGTGGGTAACAGGTGTGACTCACCTTTCAGGGGTGATTCTGTTACCAGTTTGGCTATGGAAAATGAAGCTTCTATGCTCAGTATAAATAAGTCACTTTGAAAAACTGATGGGGTCATTATCTGGGTTTTACTCTTCTGTTTCAGTGTTGTATTTTCATGGATATTTTGAGCATATCTAATGTGGGGCTTTGTGGAAACATAAGAGCAGGGTTTAACATTTACAAAAATATTTCTCTGTGTGTGGGGGGGGACATGCACAGAGGTCAAGTCAATAATTTGTGGAGCTGGTTCTCTCCTCCCAATTTTTTTTGTTTTGCTTTGTTTTTTATTTTTATTTTTTTTCGAGACAGTGTTTCTCTGTAACTTTGGAGCCTGTCCTGGAACTCACTTTTGTAGCCCAGGATGGCCTCGAACTCACAGAGATCTGCCTGCCTCTGCCTCCCGAGTGCTGGGATTAAAAGTGTGTGCCACCACCACCCAGCTTAGATTTTTTTTTTCTGATGAACCATTTGAAAGTAAAATGTCAACACGATGCCTCATTGATGATCTAGAACACTCGAGTGTGTGTTCCGTGAAGACACTGGGAGTGCCTCAGAGTCAGCAGTAACCGTCCGTATTGATCTAGAACACTCGAGTGTGTGTTCTGTGAAGACCCTGGGAGTGCCCTCAGAGTCCGCACTGACTGTGCGTATTGCTAGTGTGTAAGCTCCAGGCTCTGGGATTTGCCTGCATAAATGTCTCTTAGGGAAAAAAAATCAAGCACTCTAGAGATCAAGCTCCAGTACAGCCAGGGCTACGCAGAGAAACCCTGTCTCAAAAATCAAGCCTGGAAGTGGTGGTGGCTTATGCTGGGAGTGGATCTCTGTGAGTTCAAGGACAGCCTGGCCTATAGAGCAAGTTCTGGGACAGCCAAGGCTACTGAGAGAAGCCCTGTCTCAAAAAGGAAAAACAAACAAACAAAGAAATAAAAAGGATAGGTTCAGAGTACCTTTAACTCTCACCATGTTAATAGTCATCTTGAGTTTGGAATAATTCCTGAGTATCTTCTTGATTTTATAACTTTGACATTTTGATAACTTAGGAACTGTTACTTTGTAGAACATCCTTGAATTTATTTGTATTTGCCTAATGAGTTCCCTTGGTTATATTAAAACTGCCTTATCTTTCAAAAAAATGCCGTAGCCTGAAGCAGTCATCACTGCCACTGCATAGTCTTAGGGATACATTGCTGTAATTGCTCAGTGCTGATGATGTTTACTTTGGCTTTGGTTCACTAGTTCTCTGCTGGCTGCCTTCTCCGCTGTCAGGTTACTCTCTTCCCTTTGAAATTGTGTGTTCTGATGCCAAAGTTTCAGTTTTCATCAGTTTTGAACTTATTATTTCTACTCAGTGGAATGTAATCTCTTACTGTTATTTCTCCGATTTGACTAAGTGGGCAGCTCTTCAAGCTTGTGTGTGTCCTTTTGACTTCTCAACACTGTTGTATGGTAGTTACTTACGGGAGTTATGGGAGATACTCGTATACGTCTGTGCTGTGTCTGTGCTAGCCCTTTGATCGGCTTCTCTCCTTCTAGTGGAGAATCAGCGTCTGGAGATTTGTCTCCTGTGTCTTTCCAGATCCTGCCATATTGAGGTCAGTATCAGCTGTCACTGTCCTTTAGCTGATACTGTCCTGTTTCAGTGTCGCAGACTGTGACAGCTGACACTACCTTTGCGTGGGCTATGCTGGACAGGATTGAGCCCACAGCCATGCAAAGTCAGCCAAGTGTTCTGCTGCCGAGCTAAACCCTGGCCCTCATACTGAAGAGACTCTGTGCCACATCGGAGAGAGAAGGAGACAGTGACAGAGACGTGGGAAGGGCAGGGAACAAGAAAGAAGGTGAAGGGGAACTGTAGTCTTATTTCAAATCAGTGATTTCACACAGAGGAAAAAATTAAACATTTTGTACTTGAAGAAAGTAGGTAATTTGTTTCCTTCTTTCCTTCCTTTCTCTCTTTCTTGCCTTCTTTCTCTCTCTCTCTTTCTGTTACTCTGTCTCTCTTTCTGTTACTCTGTCTCTCTCTCTCCCTCCCTCCCTCCCNCCCCTCTCTCTCTCTCTCTCTCTCATCTTGCCATGTGTCCCTGTCTGACCTGGTCTCACTTACGCAGTCCTCCTATCCCAGACTCTGAGTGCTAAGATGACAAGCCATCTTACCCTTTTTCATCTATTCACTTCTCATTCTTTGTTGTGTGCTATAGTATTTTAATATGACTCTCAGCATCATGTTGTACTTCCAAGTACTTCATGTTAAAGTATATTGATAAATATGTTAGAGAATTTTCAGGGTACAGCTATTAACAGTACCTTAATATCGTATCAGTTTTTTATTAGTTTGGTATTAATTGTACTAAATATACCCTTGGTGGTTTTGCTTTTTATTAGGATCCAAAAGATATACATATTATATGTGGATGGTCTTGAATTTTTTTCAGTCTCTAAGATATTTTGTTTTTGTTCTTTAAATGCCATTGAGTTGTTTGCCGTGTGGAAAGCCTGCAGTCTCGTCTGTGCTGATGCCGTCTTTTTGGTATCCTGTCAGTATTAGCAGTATCTTTAGACCAGAGAGCTGGCTCGTTGGGTAGAGCGCTTGTCTTGTGTCCTCAGAACCATCGTGAAGGGAAAGCACTGACTCCTGGAAGTTGTCCTTTTGCTTCCGCATCCGTGCTGTGACACGCACACCAAACTCACATGTGACATCTCACATAAGCATGATGGTGATTCATAAGATTAAGGAGAAGCAACAGCATCAAGGACAGTATCATCTTTACAAGATCCCACATTCTTCTACAGGGCCTCGCTTTGTAGTGAGACCTGCTGGCCTGGAACGTGCTCTGTAGCCCAGGCTGGCCTAGAACTTGCTGTGTAGACCAGGCTGGCCTCTGATCACATAACTCCATCTGTCTCTGCCTTCTAAGTGCTGGGATTAAAGTTGAGTGCCACCACTCCTAGTCATATAGTTGGTTTCTTTATTTGGTTCTTGTATTCAGTTTGTGAGAGTTCACTGAGCCATAAACTCAAGATTTTTTCCATATTTCTCTATGACTGTTAAAAGTTTTTAAAATTGGAGCCGGGTGGTGGTGGCACACGCCTTTAATCCCAGCACTCGGGAGGCAGAGGCAGGCGGATCTCTGTGAGTTCGAGACCAGCCTGGTCTACAGAGCTAGATCCAGGACAGGCTCCAAAGCCACAGAGAAACCCTGTCTTGAAAAACCAAAAAAAAAAAAAAGCAAAACCTTTATGGGTCTTGCCCTTAAAAAAAAAAAAGTTTTTAAACTTGGGTTTTGTGAGTGATACTCTTGTGAAGGACAGGAGCTTCACACCTGTGTTGGGCAGCTTATAGCCATGTGTAACTCTAGCCTCATGACACTCTCTGCTGGACTCTTTGGGCATCCTCACTCACATGTGCATGCATGCACGCACACACACACTCGCATGCATATACACACATACATACACACAATTTGTAAAAATAAAAGTAAATTTAAAGAGTTCTTAAATTTAAATTTTCTTAAATAATTCTATTATATACTGGTTAGTTTTTAAATTTTTATTTATGTATTTTATGTACAGGAGTATTTTGTCTGCATGTATCTATGTATTATATGTATGCCTGTGCCTGTGGAGTCTAGAAGAGGTACTGTATTCCCTGGGACTGGACTTATAGGCAGCTTTGAGCTACCATATAGGTGCTGGGAATTGAACCTAGGACATCTGGAAGAGCAGCCAGTGTTTTGGCCATCTCTCCAACCCCCCATGTTTTACATTTTTATTTGTATTATAATTTGATAGTAGAGCTGGGTGTTGTGGTGCATTCCTTTAATCCCTGCACCTGGGAAGCAGAGGCCAGCACATCTCTGAGTTCAAGACTACCCTGGTGTACATAAGTTCCAGATCAGCCGTGTCTTCATAGTGAGACTCAAAAAAACCTGATAGTAAGTAAAATGTAGGGAGATTTTAAAGTAGCAGTTTGTACAAGGCAGAGTGCCAGCTGTTGGAAATACAAACTGCTGGGGGAAAAAACAAAGGAGCCTCTTGTTTTCTGAAGATAACCTGAGTTCAGTGCCTCCTTAAAGGGAAAAGAGTTATCCTCCTGCATCCACACGTGGATCGTGGTACCACTCGTATCCCTCCCAGTTACACGTGTAAATAATAAATAATTTGATGAAAGCTTCATTTGGGGGAAGAAGATGAATCCTTGGACGAAGCAATGTCACACAGCAGTGAGAACTCTGAGACGGCAGTGGTCTCCAGGGCCGGTGGAGTGAGCTTTCCCCAGTGTTTGGTTTGTTTTTCAAGATGTCATAATCATATTCTTTCTCTTCTTCTCCTTTTGTAGCACCTGACAGATACATCCCATGGTGTAAGAAATAAGTGCCTGCAGTTACTTGGCAACCTTGGCTCTTTGGAGAAAAATGTCACAAAAGATGCTGAAGGCTTAACTGCCAGAGATGTCCAGAAGATTATCGGGGACTACTTTAGTGACCAGGACCCGCGTGTCAGAACAGCAGCTATAAAAGCCATGGTAAACATAATTTAAAAAAAAAAAAAAAAGTAACCGGGGACAGTTCCATTTCCTTTGTTTTTTTGTTTTCTTTTTGTTTTGTTTTTTCAAGATGGGGTTTCTCTGTGAATCTATGTAGCCCTGGCTATCCTGGAACTCACTCTGTAGATCTTGTCTACCTCTGCCTCCCAAGTGCTGGGATTAAAGGCGTGAGCCACCATTGCCCAGCTTTCTCTCTCTCTGTCTCTCTCTCTCTCTCTCTCTCTCTCTCTCTCTCTCTCTCTCTCTCTCTCTGTCTGTCTGTCTCTCTCTGTCTCTCTCTGTCTCTCTGTCTCTCTCTCTCTCTCTGTCTCTGTCTCTCTCTCTCTCTCTCAGTAGGGACTGACTTAGTAGCCCTAACTGGCCTTGAACTTGGGTCTGTCCTCTTGCTTTAGCCTCACACCTGGTTCATCTCAAGATTATGGCATATGCTACTTTGGATATATTCTGAAATCCCCTAGTGCACTCCTTATTGGTGGTGGCCTTATAGAACTGAAGACACAGGGTTCCTGTATGCCAAGTGTGCTTTTCTTTTGGCTCCTTTGGGCCCCTTCATCTCTATCTCTGAAGGAAGGAGGATAGAATCTGTGTCGGAGCTCTCCTTCAGCTCTCCTGGTTCCAGCAGGAAGGCGTGTGACTTGGTGTTATGGACAGTAGGCAACCGCTAAGTGGCCCTTCAGAAAGGGCAATGGGATCTGAGGGAAGTTGCGGTGACCGTTTGTTCCCTGGGGTTCTTTCTCTTTGGACCCAGGACTTTGTAAATGCTAGGCAAGTATTCTACTGCTGAGCTGCAAGCCTGGCCTTCTCCCTTTTCTTTCTCACCATTATTTTATGCTTCTCTAACATTTCTGAGATTGTCCTTGGGTTGGAGTTAAGTGTCTGAGTGTTTATGTAGGAAATGTTTCTATTGAGTACTGATTCTGTTAGTCTGATCTGACGTGATACCCTTGGGAATGTGTGGAGATGCTGGGAAGACTTCAACTGCATTTTTATTCTCTAGCTGCAGCTCCATGAGAGAGGACTGAAGCTACACCAGACGATTTATAATCAGGTACCTTCGGGTGATTGGTGGCTTTCTGGAAGGGGAGGAGGGTCATGAAGTTGGGGGGTGGTCTTGCACCATTTCTCAAAATTTGCACTCATGAGGGTGATCAGTGGCCACATTTGTTGGGGTGGCTGTGAAGCTATATCTAAAACATACTTTTGAGAACAATATGGGGTATATATGTAATTAAATGGTGCTAATGCATGTAAAAAGACTTGTCTGTACATGAATACTAAAGACATGGAGAAAGTATGATTAGAAGTAAGGAAAGTGGGCTGGGGATGTAACTCCGTGGTAAAAAGCCTGCCTAGCATGCCCAAGGTCCTGGGTTTGATTCCTTACTAAAAAGTAATAATAATTAGGGCAAGTTTTAGTCTTCCTGATCTCTCTTTGGCTGGGCCATAGTCCACATCAGTTCTGGCACCAGTGTGGTAAACTGGAGTGTTTCTGGAGGGTGACTAAGACCACAGATCATATGAGCAGATGGCACATGAGTGTCGTGTCGGATTATAAACAGGAAAAAGGCGTGATGGAGTGGTGGACAGGCTGTTTGACAGCTTAAACGGGTGCCTCAGAATGTGATGTTTCTGCTGGAGGATAATTGAGTGAGTCTAGGGGTCAGCAGGCTAAATCCATGCTCAGGTTTTGTTAGCTTACTGACTGGCTTCATCTCTGTGAAAATTATAATTGTCTACATGTCTGGGACTGATGTGTAAATGTCGTTGTAGTACTGTGGGCCTCGAGTACTGACTTCACTCGGTTGGATGTTATCTAGATGTCTGTCCCTCTGTGTGGTTCTGCTTTCCACATGGGGCGTGATATTATACCTGAGAAGATTACGGAATGCCAAGATTCCTTTGTTAGGTGGGGGTTTAAGAAATGAGAGCACTCTGAAGTACTTTGGTTGGCACCCTTACCCTGCCATCCTGTCTTCACTTGGGAAGTATTTGGAATCACCCTGAGAACAGAGGCTGACGGGCACTCCTCCTTTGCAGGCCTGTAAGCTGCTGTCAGATGACTACGAGCAGGTGCGCAGTGCTGCGGTGCAGCTCATCTGGGTTGTCAGTCAGCTCTACCCCGAGAGGTCAGTAGGTGCAAGTCCGTCTTCGTCAGCACACAAAAGCTACCTGCGGAAAAGTGGGAATAGAGGGGGCGGCATAGGCCTTGACTGCAGACTACCATGCACTGTGTGAAAGATGCCTTTGGGTCCCTGTGTCCTCATCTGCAACTGAAGGAACTGAACTGTGTCTCTCAAGGGCCTCTCTATCATTTTTTTTGAAATAGGCAGATATGCCGGGTGATGGTGACTCACGCCTTTAATCTCAGCACTCGGGAGGCAGAGGCAGGCGGATCTTTGTGAGTTCAGGCCAGCCTGGTGTACAAGAGCTAGTTCTAGGACAGGCTCCAAAGCTACAGAGAAACCCTGTCTCGGGAAAACAAACAAACAAAAAAGGCAGATAGACAGAGAATGAGAATAAGAATAAGATTTTGGTGTAGTTTGACGTAGGCCAAATGCCATATATAAAAGATACCAGGTATGTATGTTTGTGGGCATGTGTGCCACATGCATGTGGAGAGCAGAGGACACGGTGTAGGAATCATTTCTCCTTCCACCATGGAGATTCTGGGGGTGAAGCTCAGGCGGTCAGGTGGCAGCAAGCACCCTTACTTTCTGAGCCATCTACTGGCTCTGGTTTAAAATATTTTCATAGCACTGAAATTATTCACAGTGATTCCTCGAGATGGAGATTTATATTTATTCTATTTAATAGAAGGGTATTTTCTATAGGAGAAAAAGGGGTGGTGATTTCTTTTGCATTAAACTGTTATCCAGAATTGGAAAGCCGGAATGGATTGATAAACCTATAGGAATGAGCTCCATTTATAGTTATTAGGGTCTCTCTCTCTCTCTCTCTCTCTCTCTCTCTCTCTCTCTCTCTCTCTCTCTCTCTCACACACACACACACACACACACACACACAAGCACGTACACGCACGTCTATCTAGAATTAGCTTTATTCAGATTCAGGCGTATAGTTCTGTGTTATGTAGGTGCTAGGGATTGAATGAGGGCTAGCACGCACTCTACCACCGACCTGTAACCCTTCCCCCACCAAGTTCTTCATGAATCTGAAAACCGAACGCACTCAAAGTTTGCAGTGGAACTGAAAGCCGCTGGATGTTCTCCCTGGTTGTGTGGGGTGTCTTCAGTCGAGGATTTCCTACATACGGTTTTCACTTGTCTCCTCAGAGCACCGAGCCTGCAGCCTCATGTTTTGTCATATGTGGTTTCTCCCCTTTTCTTTTTATTTAGTATTGTTCCAATACCTTCTTCTAATGAAGAAATTCGCTTAGTTGATGATGCATTCGGGAAAATTTGCCACATGGTCAGTGATGGCTCCTGGGTAGTTCGTGTTCAAGCGGCAAAGCTATTGGTAAGTTACACTTTCTTTTTCTATTTTTTTAGACTTATTTACTTATTAATGTGTGCAGTATTCTGTCTATATGTATGCTTGCATGCCAGATCTTTTTTTTTTTAATTATTTATTAAAGATTTCTGCCTCCTCTCCGCCACCGCCTCCCATTTCCCTCCCCCCTCCCCCTCCCCCCGGTCAAGTCCCCCTCCCTCGTCAGCCCAAAGAGCAATCAGGGTTCCCTGCCCTGTGGGAAGTCCAAGGACCACCACCTCCATCCAGGTCTAGTAAGGTGAGCATCCAAACTGCCTAAGCTCCCACAAAATCAATACGTTGCATGCCAGATCTTATTACAGATGGTTGTGAGCTACCTACCATGTGGTTGCTGGGAACTGAACTCAGGACCTCTGGAAGAGCAGGCAGTGCTCTTAACCGCTGAGCCATCTCTGCAGCCCAAGTTACACTTTCTTTAATGAACACAATGCTTGTTAATTTTTACAGACATTTCGAGAAACTGTAGATAGGGTCAGATATGTTGTATTTTTAGAAACCCCATAATTTCTCCAATAGCTTACCCTCCCCCTTTTTTACGCTGTATGCTTCATTACTGTGTTTATTTGCAAATAAGACTTACAAAGCAAGCATCGGTCCACACTCTAGGCCTGGACTGTGATACTACCATACCCACTTCCCTGCAAAAGTTCTGGGCTTGAGGTGGGGTCAGTGAACAAACAGATGTGAAAAGGAAAGGTAGCTGAACCCTTTCCACTCAAGATCAAGAGCACTCAATGTCCTTTGCCATGTGGAGCCAGGGACTGAACTTAGGGCTACAGACTGGATGGTAAATGTCCACCCGGTGAACTATCTCATTAGCCCATAAATTTTAGTTTTCTTGCCTGTAAAATAAAAAATGTAATACCAGATTGAGAGTTTAAAAGGGTTAAAGATTGCCTACAGAAAGTATACCTATGAGTGTGTGTGTATGTTTCTAGCTGGGCGGTGATGGTACACACCTTTAATCCCAGCACTCAGGAGGCAGAGGCAGGTAGATCTTTCTGTTGAGGCCAGCCTGGTCTAGAGTGGGTTCCAGGACAGTCAGGGCTAAACAGAGAAGCCCTGTCTCAAAAAACCAAAAATAAATAAATGAATAACAAATAAGGTGTGTTTTTATATAAGAAAGAGGCATAACTATGTGTAAATATGTACATTTATGAATGCTAATGTATATATGACTAAAAGCCTAGTTGTCTAGAAATGTTATAGATAGTAGCAACTGTAATTGCCAGTGTTATTAGCAAGATTGGATTATTAATCACTTTTTAACACAAACACAGTTACTTAATTTGGAGCTGTGTAGATCTAAAGTCATTAAAGCAGGGTTATAGAGATGGCTCAGGGAAGCGGCTGAGCTTGTGGAGTCACGGGATGGGTGTGAACTGACTGGAGTAGTAGGGGAAGAAGACAGAGGTACCGAGTAATCTGTGTTGTGTGTGCTGAGAGGCCAGGCAGGAGCCTGCCCGTGGTGGTGAGATGTGTGAGAGGAGAAAGCAGGTTCCTCACGAGGTTAAAGTGAAACTGTAAGGTGTTAGAGCTGTCTGTGCTGCACAGAAATGACAATTTCCATTCCTCATTATAGTAAGACAAATTCCACACATAGGTTGTATTGGAAAATTGAAGACCATTCGAGAGAGATTGGGTTATTATTATTCATAACTCCTCAGAGAGGTCTTTTTGGTCTCCCAAAATGTGACTGCCAGGTATATAGGAAGGATAGAATAAGAAGGAATGGAAGTTAGGCCAGCTGGGAAGTGGAAACATAAGCATCAGGAGTTCAAGACCAGCCTCTAGTAGATAGTGTGTTCCAGCCTGAGACTTTGACCAAAAAGAAGAAAGGAAGAAATGGAAAAAGACAATGAGGAAGGATGGCCAAACCAAAGGGTTCCTGGAACTTAGGTTTATGTTCCAGCTCTGGAATTTGTGATGTCAGTTACTTAATATTTGCATGCCCCTTCCCCATGCATAAAATAGTGGTATTTACTTCATAGTGTGCTACTGAGGATTAAATGGGTTGAGATATGTAGAAAACTTTCAGAGCAGTACGTAGAACAGAGTAATTTCTGCCTAAGTCAGAGGTAGCTTCTGTTACTGTTGTTCATATTTTTTACAGTATATTCCTGATGATTCAGAACCTATAGGCATCTTTACTGGCAAGAATCACGTTACCTCCATGCATTTCCTTGTAAACTTTGAATGTCAAGGTGATGGCTAGAATATGCTTTGGGTTCTTTCTTTTTACAGGGCTCTATGGAGCAAGTCAGTTCTCATTTCCTGGAGCAGACTCTTGACAAGAAGCTGATGTCAGATCTAAGGGTAACTTGAACTCTTTGTTTACACTGGGTTTCTGTAATCGATATCAGTGTAGATATATGGTGAGTGGTGTTGATTTAATTTAGCAGTCCATGTATTTGCTGCATTAATATAGGTTACTAGATTACATTTTAATTCAAAATCACAGTACCAAATTACAAGCTACATCATGAATTTCATTCTGTAAAATAATTTGTAAAGGTTGTGTTTAACCAAAAAGAGGTAGGATTTACTTTCTGCTCCTTAGACACTGCTGGAGACCGTGTTTGAAGAGGCACTGCTCTTGCCTGGCTCTCTGGCTCCCCTTTTTGATGTGTAATGTAAGCACAACCAGCTGCCCAGTCAACACTTTGTCTAGGTTACCGGAAACTATTACAGACTTGTGAACTTTTGTCTCATTTTAAGTTGGATTTGCATTTCTCTGCTCTGAACTGTCTGGTTTCTCCAAGAGCAGTTTTGTTGCCTACTTTCTCTCGGCTTTAGGTGCACCTTGATGTTCTTGGCAAGTAGTAATTATCGTCATCTTCTACAGAGGAAACGCACTGCACACGAGCGTGCCAAGGAACTCTACAGTTCAGGAGAGTTTTCCAGTGGCAGGAAATGGGGAGATGATGCTCCCAAGGAAGAAATAGATACAGGGGCTGTGAACTTGATAGAGTCAGGAGCGTGTGGAGCCTTTGTCCATGGGCTGGAAGATGAGATGTACGGTAAGTACGGCTTTGATTACCTGTAGTCCTCCTCGCATGCTTTGCTTTGTGTCAGGGTAGGAGAGGACGAGTGTGGCTGAGACATCTGTCCTGCCGTACGGCTCAGCGGGTGCGGGTGCTTCCCACACAAGCTTGGAGACCTGAGCATGAGCTCCAGAGCCCACATAAAAGGTGGGAGGAGAGCTCTGACTCCATAACCGTCCTTTCACCTCTACACACAGATAAAATCTATAAAGTGTATCTTTTCATTTAGCCTTTCCTTTCGAGACAGGGTTTCTCTGTAGCTTCGGAGCCTGTCCTAGTACTTGCTCTTATAGACCAGCCTGGCCTTGAACTCACAGAGATCCTCATGCTTCTGTTTCCTGAGTGTTGGGGTTAAAGGCGTGCGCCACCACCTCCCTCATTTAGTCTTTTGATCACTGTGTAAAGAACCTACTATGAAGGAGAGGCTGAGGCCAAGCAGAGTGATGTGGTGGTTAAATTCAGACGTCAGCGTCCTATAGAATGGGGATGGTGATGATAATAAGCTTCTTTCCAAGCTATAGAAATTAAATGAGATTCCATGTGCACTTGGCATGATACATGATCTATTTGTAGTAAGTACTTATTAATAAAAGTCTTATTAATAATAATATTTAGTTACTCAGCAAGACAACAGGATTTCAATACAGTTGTTTGTGACCACAAATCTTTCTTCTATCTTCCTTTTGCTTTTGTGAAAATTTTTGTGTCATATTATTTATCTATCTACCTACCTACCTACCTACCTACCTACCTACCTACCTACCTACCTACCATGTACCTATCTGTCATCACTCAGTCTATCTAGTAGAGTCTTGGTGTATAGCCCTAGCTCAGAGAGATCAGCCTGGGATTAAAGGTGTGCATAGCCACTCTTGTCCAGCTGTTATTCCTTTAAAGGTTTTCTGGTTCCACATATGCATTACGATCCTGAGGTTTTCTGCAATGCCCTCTGCACCTCTCCTTCCCGTTGTGTTTCACTGTGAGATGTAGCTTCCCGCTTCCCTCTTCTCCCCCTTCAACTCCTTTCTTACCCCTTTCCTGCTCCTGTCCTGTCTTCCTTTTCTCTCTCTCTCTTTTTTTTTTTTTTTTTTTTGTAATTCCAACCTTAGAACAGTTCGGTGAGAGAGGTGAGGCTGTAGCTCAGTTTGCAGAATACATGCATAAGGTCCCTCCACACGGTTTGTGCTGAGTCCTGTCTACATAGGAGCAGCAAGTCCCTTAACGACACACAGAATGGTGCTAGCCTGGGATTACAGGTGTGGGTCCCGGGGTTTTCTCTTCCCTCGTTGACTTTGTGGGAAGTAAATTCCTTTTGTCAATTCTTTTCTCTAAGATGGTAGCAGTTACCTAGCACCTGACACTTCAGTGGTTTTCGTGTAGTCGAAACACTGAGATAAGGCGACACCGTGTAGGTAGATGTGTGACTTGATCACGTGCACATGGCGTAAGATGGGCCTTAGTCCTTGGGACACAAAGCCCATGTTTGTGCATCGCTGTGATGGTGGCAGAAGAAGATGCTACAGGGACTCTAGGGTGAGAGGCGAGTAGAGAATAAAAATGCACATGCGAGAAGGAGTCTGTTTTTCCGGCTCTTGAATAACGTTCAGTTTAATTTGTGCTCATTTGTTAGAGGTTCGCATTGCTGCTGTGGAGGCTCTCTGCATGCTGGCTCAGTCTTCACCCTCCTTTGCTGAGAAGTGCCTTGACTTCCTAGTTGACATGTTTAATGACGAAATTGAGGAAGTGCGTCTGCAGTCCATACATACCATGAGGAAAATCTCCAACAATATCACCCTCCGAGAAGACCAGCTTGATACCGTCCTGGCCGTATTAGAGGTGGGTGTTTCTATTGTCATTTCTTCATCAGATACCTGTGAGGCCATCCCCCGTTAAAACCAGGGATTGTGTTGGGCACTGGTCAGTACATCAGGTGGCAAAGCTGTGCCTTCGTACCTGACCCCTAACGTGGGGCTGGAGAGTAGCAGAATGTCTGAGTAAAGCTTATCATCTCTGTGACCAGGGAGGGACTGAAAAGAGCATCTAATTGAGCTGCTGAGTCAAGGAGACCCAGCACAATGCACCGAGGACATTTTAAGGAGGAAGGGTAGGAGGTGTTCACTGTTGAGGAGGAAGTGGTACCCTTGCCGAGGCAGAAGGAAAACAGTGTGATGGTCTCCAAAGATCCAGAGGCTGGAAAGTATGACACTAGGAATTCAAAGATGTTCACTGCAGTGGTAGTATACAATTGAAGACCTGTAGATGAGGCAGGGGAGCACCTGTTGACCGGGCAGGGGAGCATTTGTAGATGAGGCAGGGGAGCATTTGTAGATGAGGCAGGGGAGCACCTGTAGATCGGGCAGGGGAGCACCTGTAGATGAGGCAGGGAGCACCTGTAGTTTTGTAGAGAAAGAGTAATTTGTCTGAAGCCACATAGTCAGTTACATGGTTGCTTTGGGTATACAAAGACTCACTCCCCAGACTGTAGAACTCATGGTCTGGAGCTATTTTTCTGAAGTGCCTGGATCTCTTTGTTGTATTTCGAGACAGGGTTTCTCTGTGTAGCCCTGGCTGTCCTGGAACTCACTCTTGTAGACCACGCTAGCTAGCCTGGTACTCTGATTCTGACCCGGTCTGCCTCTGCCTCCTGAGTGCTCGGATTAAAGGCACCACCACTGCCCAGCTCCACGTCTTTGTGATTCTAAGAAGGCAAATTTATCCTGTTTGTGTTGCCTGTCAACAGAGGCCTTTTAGTTTCTTGGGTTTTTTGTTTGTTTGTTTATTTGAGACCAGGCCTTACTTTGTGTGGCCAGACTGATTAGAACTTGCTGTGTCCTAGCTGACCTTGAACCCAAGGACATTCTTCAGCCTCCTCAGCGCTTGGGTTACAAACTATTCTTCACTCTACTGGTCCCGGCTCCCTCACATTCACTGTGTTAAGTTCTTCTGTCCTGTCAGTGATTGGAACGGTGTCAGAAGCAGATCCCCGTTCTCACGGAGCATAATTTCAGTCTCGAGGGGTGAACATTTCAGGTGGTGACAGATCTGTGCAGAAGATAAGCAATCTAGACGCGTGGGGGTTTTAAGATACATCATCTGGTTACTCAAGCTTCTGAGGAGAGGATCCTTACAGGGCAGAGCAGCCTTTCCTGTGCAGACCGAGGCAGAGAACTGCTCCTGGAACAGCTAAGGGACAACAGATTAAGAATTTCAGTCTTGGTGGAACCTGGTGAGAAAGGAGAGGTCGCAAAGTGGATAGGCAGGGGCAAGCAGCTTGTGCGCACTGACTCACTCTAAGCATTATGGGAAATTGTTGTGCAGAGAAGATGACTATAGACTTGCCTCTTTCAGCTTTCCTCATTCTTAAAGTTTTTATGGAATTTATAGCAGATACATTGTTACATCCTGTCAATCATTTGATGCATATTAAATACCAGTCCCACGTGTCTCCCCTTTAGTTTATCATGTCTTATCTCCCTGATGAGATCATTAACTCTCTAGTGGAGTCTCTAGGTGATGCCTTTTGTTATGTTCTCTTCAGGCTCCACCTGGTGACGTACTCATAGTGAGTGCATAGCAAGTATTTCCAGAAACAAACCTGCACAAGTTAGCCCTAAAACTGGCTATTATATAGTGCTTAAGAAAGACATCAGTCCAGCTTCCTGCTGTCAGCAGTGGAGGTTCACTCATCTGGGAAACATTATCTTATGGTTAAGTTGACAGTGTTTAGAGTCAGGCAGATCTGAGTCAGCTCCTCAGTCCCTCTCTTCAGTCTTTACTTTGTTGTGTGCCAGGCACTGCTGTAGGGGAGTTAAAACAGTGAGTGGAAGCCATGGTCCTGCTCTCGTGAACCTTATGATTTAGTAATCAGCAGCACAAAGGCACAACAATGAAATGAAATTAGTCTGTAGCAGGAGTGAGATGCTGTAAGAGTGTATCAGGGAATTTGGTTCTTTGGGGTTTTGGGGTTAGGGAATACAGCAGTCAGGAAAAGGATCTAAAGTCGAACTCAAAGACGAAGGAACTAGGCACCATTTTTGCAAGACTTGTCCACGGTGGAAGAACATTCGAGGCAGAAGAGGAGCAGATATAGACCTGCGGAGAATGGCACAGCTGTCAGTGTGCTGTGACGTGTGCTGTGACGTGTGCCGTGACATGTGCTGTCAGTGTGCTGTGACGTGTGCTGGAGGGAGGGGGCAGCTCATGCAGTCTCGCTGCTCATCTGTTGGTCTGTATGGCCACACAGATGTCCACACTTTTTTTTTAAAATATTTATTTATTTATTATGTATACAATATTCTGTCTGTGTATATGCCTGCAGGCCAGAAGAGGGCACCAGACCTCATTACAGATGGGTGTGAGCCACCATGTGGTTGCTGGGAATTGAACTCAGGACCTTTGGAAGAGGAGGCAATGCTCTTAACCTCTGAGCCATCTCTCCAGCCCCTCCACACTGTTTTATACATGATATTATATACCTTTATGGTTTTTGTTCCTTTAATTATAAAACACNTGTAAAGAGGTCTGGCACCCTCTCCTGGCCTTCAGGCATACAGACAGATTATTGTATACATAATAAATAAATAAATATTTAAAAAAAAAATTCCTGGAACTGGAAGGTGCCCTGTGGGTGCTGGACTCAAACCCTGAGTTGTCTGGAAGAGAAGCCAGTACTTTTAACCATTGAGCCGTCTCTCTGACTCCCTTCACTTTATTTTTTTGTGACAGGGTATCTTACAGAATCTGGAACTTGTTACCTGGATTCTCTGTCCAACAAGCTCTCAGGGATCAGCCTGATTCAGTCTGCTAAGTGCTGGGATTACAGGCACTAACTGTTCAGTTTTGTGTTTCGTTATTGTTTGCATGGGTGTTCAAGGCATCCGTCCAGGCTGTGCGCCAAGCTCTTTACCACCTCTTCAGCCCTCTTTGTAATTCAGTGTAGCCAAACTGTTAGCAGGTCTAACCCAAAACTTATAAAAAAATAAAAACACACAGTTGCCTCGTGTGCAGTTTTACACAGCTTGGAAAAGCCTGTCCCTTTCACTATAATAGCTATTTTTTTAACTGGGTTCTTACTAATGACACTCTTAAAAACTTTGCATTTTTTTTCTCATTTAAACCCTGCTTTATGAACAGCCTTCCCAAGGCTGCATGGTTTCAGGACATCCCCTAGGATATCAGTTGTGTTGTTTTGACTTCAAGTTAAAAATCAAAAAACAGAAAACCTGGCTCAAAACGTCTTAAACAATAAATCTGATCTTTACGTAGCAATCCATGGTGAGTGAGCTTCAGGACTGACCGTCTCGTCAGGGTGAGAGTCCTGCCTGATGAGCTCACAGTTGCCATTCGCTTCATAAGCCAGCCTCGGAAGACCCAGAGAAAGAGATGCCCTCGTGTGCTTCTGTGTGTGGTTAGAAAGTCATTACTGACAGCTCCCCGCAGACTTCTCCAGTGACCCAGTGACCAGAATTGAGTTACTTGACTGTTAGCGGACCAGCTGCTGGGAAATGGGCGGGTTGAGCCGATAGCGGACAGCCCTGGAACTGGATGGTCTTTGTCTTAGCATCTTACCGTTGCCCTGGTACCTAAGGAGCAGTTTTCTTGTCAGGAAAGCTGGAGGAACTGCTGCTGTTTAAACAGCTCTGCATTTGAGCTCCTCTGTTCTGTAAACGCTGTTTCTAGAGGAGCCAGCTGAGTTCCTGAGGGATTGGTGACATGCCTGAGTGTGGAATGTGGATGAGACACTCGCTAATGTGCTGATGTCGTTCCTGTTTGTTTCAGGTGCTTGAAGTTCCTGGGGAGCCGGCATCCGACCCTTGTGCTTCCTTTGGTGCCCGAGCTCTTGAGCACCCACCCGTTTTTTGACACAGCTGAGCCAGACATGGATGACCCGGCGTGTATCCTCTTCGCTGGGCTCAGATGGGCCCTGTGGTCGTAGCAGAGATCTGAATTGTACTGGTGGTGCCAGAGGGAGAGGTGGCCATCCTCAGCCTTCATTGCTTTCATCTTTGCCATTTAATAGCAACAAGCACTTTAGCCTGTTATTTACCCCTTCTCGCATTTCACGTATTCATTATATATTTTGTATATTTTATCACTAATTTGCCACACAATTTTATCTTTGTTGATGATTTTATTATTTTATTTTATTTCTTTTAGTTTTTCTTTCTTTTTTTTTAAGAATATTCTTTTTATTTTTTTTCAAATATTTATTTATTTGTTTATTCACTTGTTATGTATACAATATTCTGTGTGTATGTCGGCAGGCCAGAAGAGGGCACCAGACCTCATTACAGATGGTTGTGAGCCACCATGTGGTTGCTGGGAATTGAACTCAGGACCTTTGGAAGAGCAGGCAGTGCCCTTAACCACTGAGCCATCTCACCAGCCCTCTTTTAGTTTTTCAAGACACAGTTTCTCTATATAGTCTTGGCTTTCCTGGAATTTGATTTGTAGACCAGACTGGCCTCATCAAACTTAGAGATATGTCTGCCTCTGCCTCTTGAGTGCTGGGATTCAAGGTGTGTGTACCAGGCTTTTTCTTTTGGGCCACCAGGCAGCTCCCAAATCGTGACACAGAGACTACTTATTAGTTATGGATGCTCGGCCTGGCTTAGGCTTGTTTCTGGCTGATTCTTTTAACTTAAATTAACCTGTTTCTCTTTATCTACCTTTTGGCTCTGGCTTTTTTTCTCTTTCTTACTCTCTTTCTGTCTGCCTTACTTTCCTGCTGTCTCTATGGCTGCCTGGCTGCTGCTTGGCCTCTGCCTGGGCCTATCCCTCGTTCTCTCCTCCTCCTTCGCTTGTTCTTCCTCCAAGCCTCAATTTCTCTTCCCATTTATTCTCTCTGCCTGCCAGCCCTGCCTGACCTCTCCTGCCTATCTATTGGCCGTTCAGCTTTTTATTAGGCCTTATGCAGGCAAGGTGAAACAAATGGAACTCTTCATAACTAAACACACATCCTACATCATTAAACAAATGCAGCATAAAAGATGTAACGCAGCCCGACATAGTTAAGGTGATCTCCACAACAGGTGTGTGCCACCACTGACCCTTGAAAAAATTTAAGTTTTGTTGTTATTTTTAGTTTTAGTTATTTCTATGTGCATTGGTGTTTTGCCTGCATATAGATCCGGGTGAGGGTGTTAGAAGCCCTGGAACCAGAGTTACAGAGAGGCAAGAGCAGCCATGTGGGTCTGGGAATTGAACCAGGTCCCTGGAAGAGCAGCCAGGGCTCTTAACCGCTCAGCGTTCTCTCCAGCCCCAAGAAACTGAGTTACTGAAAGTAACTCAAAAAAATCAGATCTGGGGGGCTGGAGAGATGCTGCTCACCCTTGTTTGTAACTCCAGACACAGAGAAGCTGTCAGCCTCGCAGAGACATACCTGCAGGCAAAACAAAATCAGTGCACAAAAAAATACATAAATATATTTTTAAAGGCAATTTTCCCATTAAAAAAATGAGATCTATCCCATCTGTTGACGCACACACCTGTGAAGTGATGTAGGACTTTCCCGTGAGGCAAGCCACATCGTGAAGCTGTACAGGTCTGCCCCTAGAGCTTACACGTCTGATCTTACAACTTGTGTAATCCGCTGTGTCTTGAGCCATGCTTCATTTGGCCCGAGGGAGGCGCTGTTCTGAGCTAGGCTGCATGCTCACTATGCTTGTAGTTCAAGTTCAGTGGGTTTTGATTTCCTCGTGTAGCACCATGTGGACTTGGATTGTTTTCTAGTAACGGGAGTGTGTTTACCCCAGTACATCCTCACTCTCCCTAGGCTCCTTTTGCTTCATATGCAGACCCAGATCCTCCATGACTTTTAGGGATCCTTATTGGAACATAGGACACACTGAAACTAGTGAGGACAAGGGGACCATTGCATCCTCCCCTAAGTCTGCCTGCTTTCACCGTCTCTTGGGGTTGGTGTATTTGCGTGGACTGAGCCTGGCGTCTGCCTCGACCTCCTGAGTTCATAGGCACGCCCCAGTACGTTGTGTGGTTCTGAGAATTGAACCCAGGGCTTCTTGCCTGTTAGGCACGCACTCTACCTACTGGGTCGTACCTCCAGCCCTGAACTGCAAATCAAAATTGTTTTGATTATTGGGAAATTGTGGCCTTAATGGGAGCTGTGGCGGTGGGAAGTGAGGCAGCAGACTATGTATGGCTTTCTAAATCACTTAACCCACTGTGCACCAGACATTGCAGTTTTAGTTCTTATCTTCAATGCTGCTAAAACCTGCCCTACAATGCCTGCACTGTTCTCGGACCACACCTTCAGGCACTATGCCTACCTGCGAGACAGCCTCTCTCATCTTGTTCCTGCCCTGAGGGTAAGCTGAAAGTATTCTGCTTTGTTGATTTGCCGTGCCTTGTGGTGGTTAAATAGCAGACTATGTAGTCTACAAAAATTCATCCGTCCACCATTCTCTTTTTATCTTGGGACTTTCTTACTGTGCTTACAGTTTTTGAGATGATCTCTGTTGCTTAGCTCAAATTTGCAATCTTTTTTTTTTCTTTTCTTTTTTCTTTCTTTCTTTTTTTTTTTTTCTTCAGGACAGGATTTCTCTGTGTAACAGTCCTAGCTGTCCTGGAACTCACTCTGAAGACCAGGCTGGCCTCGAACCCACAGACACCTGCCTGCCTCTGCCTCCCGAGTGCCACCCCTGCCCGGCAAACTTGCAGTCCTTTGCCCTCAGTCTTCCTATACTAGGGTTATAGGCGTGTGCTGCCGCGCTGGACTTCTGTGCCTGTGCTTCTCTGTTCACATCCTCCAGCTGTGTCCCCCTTCCCTGTTCCCTCCTTCACTCACTTCTCTCTGTGCTGAGCGTGCAATTAAGGATTAGTTACATATTGTTAGGCAAGAAAAAAATATATTTTAGACTGGAGTAAACTTGTAATACTTATTTTTACATTATATAATTTGTGTGTGTGTGGTTCGTGGGAATCAGTTCTCCCTAGGGTCTCTGTATGTGGGTAGTCAAAAGACGTTTTGGAAGTTGCCTCTCTTCTACCATGTCAGGGACAAACTCGAGATCTCAGACTTGACAGTCAGTTTCTTTACTTACTGAGCCTTCTCACTGGCCCTCCATCTCTTTCTTAAATCTTAGAAGTTACTACTTCTAACGATTAGAACAGGAATTACAATTACCTTCCTATAAAACATTTTACAGCATGCTTCATAAGCTGATTTGGGAATAAGTCATCACACTCCCATGAAATGAAACACAAGTCTTAAAAATAAATGTAACACACAGATGAACTTTTAGTACTATCCCTGAGCTCAGCGACAGAAACACGATACAATTCTCATTTCTGCTGTGGTGTTGGATGGGCTGGGTTAGCGTTCTCATCTATATTGGTGCTCGCCTTCCTAGTCTTTTGCCTTGTGTTCTTCCCCTCCTTTTTTTCCTCCATCTTTCCTCTCGGCCTCTGTTGCGTGTCTGTGTGCGTACGTGTGTGAGTGAGTGGCCATCCCCTAAGCCGACCACAGGATTTGCTGATACTGCTGTTGCGCTAATTTTTAGTTGCCAGGGAGAAAACTGGTGTCATCAGCCGTCTCTCCTGCCATCACCCCCCATGAAGACCCTTCCCAGCAGTTCCTGCAGCAGAGCCTCGACAGGGTCTACAGTGTTCAGCACCTAGACCCGCAGGGGGCCCAGGAGCTGCTGGAGTTCACCATCAGGTGAGCCATTCTTGTCTGCTTCCTCTGACTCCTGCTCTGCCTGATGGCTTTGAATTTCATTGTTAGTTATCCAGATTCTCTGAGTGCTGGCCTTTACTCCTGAGTGGTTTTGAGATTTTATTTATACTTGGGTTAGATTGTAATTGTTTGTTTATTATTTTTTAGTGATGTTTTATTCATGAGTCAGAGAGTAGCACAAATAGAAATAGTTACAAAGAGCTTACACCTTTCATCCCAGCTCTTGGGAGGAAGAGCCAGGCAGATCTCTGTGAGTTCAAGGCCAGCCTGGTCTATATAGCGAGTTCTAGGACAGCCAGGGCTACATAGAAATCCTGTCTCGGGAAAAAAAACAAGAACAGTTAGAAAGCAGGTATTTTAAACTTTTCTTTCTTGTTAGGTGAGTAACAGAAATGCAGAGAACCAGTGCTTTGACGAGGCAGAAGTTTCACCCTCCCTTAGGCCTGCAGGGCTGAGATCATCATGGATCCAGGCTCACTTTTCCTGTCTGTCCTCTGTCCTTGTCTTCCCCATGCCTGACAGTCCACACTCTCCTTCTTTCTAGACTGCTTTTGCCTGTGAGAGAAAGGAAAGGGCAAGAAAGGGGCTTCATTCTGTTTCGCTTATTTTGAAAGGTAGGCTTTTAGTGTTCTGTGTTGACTGGAATATAAATCATGTGGTTATATCTAGCGTTGGCGAGTCTGGATCAGTAGTTTTCGTCCTAGGTGACTAGTATCTGGGTAATAATGGCACTAGTATCTGGTAATAAAGGAAGGTCCTGGGGAATACCCGATACGCTCTGCTAGACCATGTGACCCATATCTGACCGACCCTTTTGTACACTGTGGGCGGCCATGATTGGGAGCCATGCTCCCCTGCTCTTGGTAGCTCGTGTGCAGTGAGCCTCAGCGCTGTTTTTCTCTTCTCCATGATAGTGCTTAGTTTTGGAGCCACTAAAAGAGGCTGCTGGCCCTGAGCCCAGGAAAATAAGCTGATTCCTGACTCATTCCCATCTAATTAAGCATTTAGGGCTTGTCCTTGACAGTTTTGTTTTATTGGCACTAAAGCAAATGCAGAACGCATAAAAACAAGTCGATTTAGTCTTTAGCTGTGCTGTGACTGTTAGTGGGTTCTCGGTAAACACCTGCTGGGGTACGTTCCCTTGGTGATCTGGTGTTTTTTATTTATTTGTGATTTTTTTCATGTGTGTGTGTGTCGGTGTGGTGTGTTTGTGTGTGCATACTGCATCCCACATGTGGAGATCAAAGGCTAGCACGCAGGAGCTGGTTCTTTTTCCACTCTGGGTCCTGTGGACTGAACTCACGTCATCTACAGAAGCCCTGGTATCTTTAAGTGACGGCCCACTGCGCTAGTGCTGTGGCTAGCCCCGGGCACTCTCCGGAGAACTTGGGAGGGAAAGCAGCTGTGAGCCCACTCTGCTCGACAGGCATCCCAGTTTGCTAGACATGTCAGGGCCAGGGTCTGAGTCCAGCTTTGTCTGACTCTCAAGTTTGTGTCAAGGATTATGCAGTCGTGAAAGATTTCCTGTGTTAAGTAGAGATTAGGTCAGATGATCCCTGAGGTTTGGGCTTCTGGAGATGGCTTAAGGTAGGGCCTGAACTCAATGCCCAGACCCTTAGACCAGTGCTGGGTGTTGGTGAGCTAGGGACAGTCAGATCCCTGGGTCTAACCTAATTGGTGAGCTCCAGGCCAAAGACAGACTCTGTCTGAAAGGAGGTGAATGGTGCTGTGGATGACACCCAGCACACACATGTGCACACATGTAAGCACGCGTATGTACATTCAAAGAATGATGATTCCTTGAGACAGGGTCTTGCTACATAGTCCTGGCTATCCTAGAACTTACTATGTAAACTAGGCTGGCCTCGAACTCACAGAGATTCCTGTCTCCACCTCTCAAGTGCTAGGAATAAAGGCACCAATACACCCAACTTCAAAAATTACTATTTTTATAGTTGCTAAAAAATGTTAATTGGCATTTTATACAGAATAGTCATCCAGGGCCACGTTTTTGTTACTGTTGATGTAAAACAACTTTCCTGTCGTAGTCACTGCCCTTGCAGCCAAGTTCTCGTATCTGTGGAAATTTGGACATGGTCCAGTACGAGTGCAGGGAAATCTTATTTTATTTTATTTTATTTTATTGAGCTTTGCATAATTACTTTGTCTTCACCACTGTGTCTGGGGTGCCTTCTAGGAACTCGGAAATGCTTGTTATAAACAATAGTGATGACTTCAGCAGAGCCATGTCGTTTTAGAGACATGGTTTACTGCTTTGTGTCTAGATGCACAGATGATGACTTATAAAGGCCTGTTCTCCTGGATTCTGTGATGTCACCAGTGCCCATGAGTAGACCAGGCTGGCCTCAAACTCACTGACATCTACCTGCTTCTGCCTCCCAAGTGCTGGGATTAAAGGTGCGTGCTGTTACTGCCTGCCCGGCTCTCAGAGCTTTTTAAAAAATTAATTATTGGGCTGGAGAGATGGCTCAGCGGTTAAAAGCATTGACTGATCTTCCAAAGGTCCTGAGTTCAATTCCCAGCAACCACATGGTGGCTCACAACCATCTGTAATGAGATCTGGTGCCCTCTTCTGGCCTACAAGCAGGATACTGTATAAATAAATAAATAAATAAATAAATCAATAAATAAATATTTTTTTTATTTTTTTATTTTTTATTTTTTTAGAAAAAAAGTTTTAAAAAATTTACTTACTCATTTATATGTGCATTGGTGTTGGGTCACCTGAAACTGGAACCACAGATGGGTGTGAGCTGCCATGTGGGTACTGGGAATTGAACTCAGGTCCTCTGGAAGAGCAGTCAGTGTCCTTAACCCTTGAGCCATCTCACCAGGCCCTGCTTCTCAGAGCTTTATAGCCCTTATTTCTGTTGAGTTGAAGAATGGCTACACCTTTAATCCCGGTACCCAGGAGGTAAAGGCAGAAGTATCTCTGTGTATTTACAGTCAGCATAACAGCACTTCTGTAAAAGAGCTGGGGTCTATTCATGCACACCCTTTATTTTCTTTTGCCAGGTATTATGTTAGTAGAAGAGGCATAGTGGTAAACAGATAGTCCCTATTATGAGGGCTCTTAGTTTCGTGAGAGTTAGTTGGGTAAATAGGAAATACAGAATTGTACTTTGTTACTATAGTAGATAAGCAGGGTCTCTAGAAGAAAGGAAGGTTCACCTAAGCCTTCTTTGAATGGGAAGCAGTTCTCGACCTATAGGTCGTGACCCCTTTGGAGGTTGAATGACCTTTTCACAGGGGTTGCCTAGGACGATCAGAAAACACAGATATTTACGTTACGATTCATAGCGGTAACAAAAGTACAGTTATAAAGTAGCTACAGAAATCATTTTATGGTTGGAGTCAGCACACCATGAGGAACGGTATTAAAGGGTCACGGCATCAGGAAGGTTGAGAACCACTGATCTAAGAGATGACCTGAAGTCAATCAGGTGAGGGAGGGAAGAGGACCACTAACCAGACGTGGAGTCCTGAACTAGCTTCCTATCTGGTTAACGGTTTGTCCGGAGTTCAAACCTCCAGCATAAGGAGAGGTGAAATCCAAAGCACAGGCTCAGATCACAAAGAGAACGACTGTAACCTTGACTTTTAGAGCGTAGAAGAGATTGAAAGGAAGGTGTAGCCACAGACATTTGATCTGTACATCCAGAGTATTTTGTTTTTGAGACGAGATTTCTGTTGTGTAGCCCTGGATATTGGAGCTTGCCGTGTAGATCAGACTGGCTTTGAATTCAGAGAGGTCTGCCTACCTCTAACCGTCTCCTGAGTGCTGGCATTAAAGGTGTGCACCACCATGCCTGGCTTTTTTAGATGTTTATTGGCTTTATGGACCGGGGGTTGCTAATGTGTGTTCTGAGAGGGGCATTGTTGCCCTGCCCCATCACATTGTAGAAATATGGTTCACTATAGCTCTTTTTTCGATTTGTTTTGTCTCATTAGTATTTGATATGTTTCATAATTTAAAAAATTAATAGCAAATAAATAAATGGAGGCTTTATTATATGTTAATGATCAAAAGAAGAGAGTTTTAGACAGGCCTGGTTTGTGTCCTCTTTTTGACAGTTTTTAACTCTGACATTGGGCAGACCACATCATGTTAGTGTTTGGTTTCATGCTCAGTGGAACGGATTAGCTACAGCTCCTGGAGTGAGGAGTAAATGAACTCCGATAAGGAAATGCCTAGCGCAGTGCAGCTGCGCACAGAAGGTGCTCTTTGTGCCATCCGCTTAGAGAACCCCGTCTTCTGATGGGCGTCTAGACTGCGGCTTCCTGAGGCTTGTGGGCAAGAGAGGTGCACAGAGGAAACCCCGGGACACAGAGCGTTGTGCCGGGGGCCAACAAGTTTCCACTTTGCCTGTCTTGTAGGTGAGGCTTCTTGTGGCTGATTGGGTTGCACTGAGAGCAGCAGTTTACACCGCAGGGCAGGAGATAGCGTCAGCACATGATCAGCCTGGCAGTGTTCTTCTAGTAGTAACAGGGCAGAATCTTGCTGACAGTAATTGCTTCAGAAATAGAGTGGTTCTGAATGTCTCTGTGATAAGGGAACTGCAGAGACTTGCTGGCCACCAGAATCCTGCTTCATTGATGTGGATAGCCCAGAGTCTTTTGTTTTGTGTGACTGACATCAGGATGGACCAGGCCACTCAAACACACGAGATGATGTTATCCATGGACACTCATTTCTTCAGTCCTAGCTATCAGTTGCTCTGTGCGTGGTTGTGCAAGGCCTCTAGGAAGCAGCATCAATTATCCTGGTGCTGCCATTGAGGTTGCATGAGGTTAAAGAGAGGGGCTGGTTCAGTGGACAGTTGTGTCCAGCCACAAAAGTCTGCTGTGTCCAAAACAGCTTCTCAAGTGATCCAAGCCTTCAGCTTTCCTACGGTACTGTTTTTTATACAGAATTTTTATTTTGCCATTGAAAAATAATGAGGCACCGGATGGTGGTAATGCAGGTCTTCAATCTCAGTACTTGGAGTGGGAGGCAGAGGCAGGTAGATTTCTGAGTTTGAGGCCAGCCTGGTCTACAGATCGAGTTCCAGGACAAGCTCTAGAGCTACAAATAAACCCTGTCTCAAAAAAGTCTTAAAAACAAACAAACAAAAACCCCATAAAACTGGGAGTCAGCTCTATAACCCTAAAACCTGAGAACATGATATTTACCAGGTGGGTGAGTGGGAGTCTAATCTAATAAATGATATTCATTTTAGGAAACAGATTTTTAAGAGCTTGGAAAAATTAGCCAGGTGGTGGTGGCACATGCCTTTAATCCCAGCACTCAAGAAGTAGAGGCAGGAGAATGAGTTTTGAGGCTCGTCAAGGCTACACGGAGAAACCCTGTCGCGAAGAAAAAGAAAGAAAAGAAAAATAGCTAGGGAGATAACTCTCCTGCTTTCTGTGCAGTAAAGATCCTGAGTGTGGAGCTCTAGCATTTTATATATATATAGTGTGTGTGTGTGTGAGATGTAGTTCATGTGCCTGTAACCCTAGCTTTTTTTAATATTTTTTTTATTATGTATACAATATTCTGTCTGTGTGTGTGCCTGCAGGCCAGAAGAGGGCACCAAACCTCATTACAGATGGATGTGAGCCACCATGTGGTTGCTGGGAATTGAACTCAGGACCTTTGGAAGAGAAGGCAATGCTCTTAACCTCTGAGCCATCTCTCCAGCCCAACCAAAAAATTTAAAAAAAAAAAAAAAAAAAAAAAAAGGAATAAAAAAATAAAAAAATAAAAAAAAAAAAACAAAAAAAAAAAAATTAACATATAAAAAAAATAAAAAAAAATATAATAAATGAATAAGTTAAATAAAAAAAAAAAAAAAAAAATAAAAATAAAGATATACAAAAAAAAAAAAAATAAAGAAAATAAAAAAAAAAGAGAAAAAAAACAGAATAAAAATAAAAAAAGAAAATAAAAAAAAAAAAAAAAAAGAAAGAATAAAGAAAAAAAAAAAAAGAATGAAAGAAAAAGAATGTAAAAACAGTACTTAGGAAGAAGAGGCAGGAAGATCAAGAGCTCAGGGTAAACCTGGACTATATGAGACCCTGCCTCAAAACATGGAGAAGCCAGGTGAGGTAGTGCATGGCTTTAATTCCAGCTCTGAGGAGGCTGACGCAGTTGGGTCTCTATAATTCGAGGCTGACGTGGTCTACATAACAAGGTCTAAACCTACCAAGACTACATAGTGAGTGAGACCGTGCCTCATAAATAAACAAACAAACAGAAAGATAGAAAATAGAAGAAGGCAAGGCCCCTTCTTAGATCAATAAAATGAGGTCTTTCCCTGGAATTTTAGTTAGCAAATTTCTACATATTTTTTCGAATGCACACCCTATGTGGAAAGGTAGTTATAGACAGGGGAAGGTGGGTGGAGCCTGAGTTTGCTAGCAATCTCTATTGTTAATTATTTCTTTTCTTTTAAGGACTCGTCCAGGGATATTAGAGAGGCCCTCCACGAACTCTTGTGCTGTACCAACGTTTCAACAAAGGAAGGCATTCATCTTGCCCTGGTGGAGCTGCTAAAAAACCTAACCAAGTACCCTACCGACAGGGACTCCATATGGAAGTAAGGGCGCTTACCTCATTTACCGAGTCCGTCATACGGTAATAACCAACTGTACCGCTTACATGACTAGGTGCGGCCCTCCATTTCACCTCTGGGAGACGCTTGGTTCATCTTTTTTTATTTGGTTTTTCAAGACAAGGTTTCTTTGTGTAGTCCTGGCTGTGCTGGAATTCACTCTGCCTCAGACTCCACCTGCCTCTAATTTCTGAGTGCTGGGATTAAAGGCACGTGCGACCATCACCTGGCTAACTTTTCCGAACTCTTAAAAATCTGCTTCCTAAAATGAATATCCCATATCAGGTTCCCACCCATCCACCTGGTAAATATGTCGGGTAAGGTCAGGCTTTAGGGTTGGAGAGCTGACACCGAGGTTCCCTTTTCTCGTACACTGCCCTTGTCTGTCTGCACATGTCCAGCACTACAGCCATCAGCATTGCACTCAGGCAGAGCTGGCACTTGACCTACAAACAAAAAATTCTATTTGATCTACGAGTAGAAAATTTCAGTTTTTTCTCCACTAGCTTCACTGGCTTCAGACACACTATTAATACTGTTTATTAACCTCTCTCTCTCTCTCTCTCTCTCTCTCTCTCTCTCTCTCTCTCTCTCTCTCTCTCTCTCCATATATATATATATATACCTGTATATATACCTGTATATGTGCAATATAAAATATATGTTTCAGGGTTTTACATATTTCACTGGACTTATCTGATGAAGTCATCCCAAAAAAGGGGGGATTCATGTTAAAAGAAAAACTACTGAGCTAGCAAGATAGCTCAGCAGTTAAGACCACTGGTTGCTCTTCCTGAGGTCCTGAGTTCAATTCCCGGTTCATAACCATCTGTAATGAGATCTGGTGCCCTCTTCTAGCACGAAGTTGAACATGCAGATAGAGCACTCATATACATTAAACAACAAACAAATAAATAAAATTTTTTGGAAGTGGGGAGAAAAAGGAAAAACTGCTAAGTTGGCTGTAGTAGCACATGCCTTTAATACCAGCAGAGGCCGGTGGATCTCTGAGTTCTGGGCCACCCTGGTCTACAGACTAAGTTTCAGGACAATCAGAACTACACAGAGAAACCATATTTGACAAAACAAAAAAGAAAAGAAAAGGAAAACTCCTAATGGAAGATATGTGCACACAGGCCTCTATTGATGTCAGCGTTGGATAGATGGTAGAGAGCCTGTCTTTGCCGTGTGGTAGCCAGGCCGTCTGCCACCCCGCCACATCCTCAGCTCCTGGCAGATGCAGGCTGTGGTGTCTCCTTCTAGATCATGTTTTAAAAATTGCATTTTGATCGCCGGGCGGTGGTGGTGCACGCCTTTAATCCCAGCACTCGGAGGCAGAGGCAGGCAGATCTGAGTCTGAGGCCAGTGTGTTTTGTTCTACAGAGTTACTTCCAGGACAGCTAGGGCTGTGTAGAAAGACCTTATCTTTTTTTTTTTTTTTTCCTAGAAATAACAAAATAGTATTTTTATTATTTTAAATGACAAGTTCAATTATTGAAACAAAGCATTCAGTGAGACATCCCAGTGGCAATGAGCATGTCCAGTGGCCAGATCTTGGTTTCCAAACAGCACTGTGCATTCAAAGGAACCAGGGTTTCTTGGTGCCTGAGACATGTCCAGGATCTGGTGAGGAAACTCCAATTCCAGCCTGAGACAATGGAGTTATTTCAGAAAGCAAAAACATAGTAAGAAAAAAAAAAAAAAAACTAACAGTGTCGTGTCAAAGGTTAAGTGAGTTGGTTTGACATGATTCCCATGGGCCTAATCTTGGACAGCTGCAACTCCAGAAAGAATGAAGGCGATGGATTAGAATGCACTGAGAGGCTCAGTTAATGCATTACTGTATGCATGCTATGTGCATGATCAAGGAAGACCTTATCTTAAAACTCCAAAAGAAACCAAAGAAGAAATATGATGCTGAAAAAGTACTTTCTGTTTTTTTGTTTGTTTTGCTTTGTTTTTTTTTTAAACAAATGGTCCCTAAAGCCTTTTTTGTTTTTAGGGTATTTTTTTTTAATGTATGTGAGGGTGTTGTCTACATGTGTGTATATTCCATGTACCCCTGGTGTCAGAAGAGAGTGTCAGATCTCCTGGAACTAGAGTTGCAGATGGTTGTAAGCTTCATGTGGGTGCTGATAAAGTCAGGTCCTCTGAGATAAGAGATGCTCTAACCAGCCCTGGTCCTGGTGTTGCCTCTCTTCTGCTAATCGTCCATCCGCTCCTGGTCTCTGAGTCCTGTCGTGTGTGTGTGTGTGTGTGTGTGTGTGTGTGTGTGTGTGTGTGTGTGAGAAAGTCAGTGTTGGGTATCTTCCTCAGTGTTGCTTCCACTTTTTGTAAATTTTTAAAATTATTTTATATATTGATGTTTTGCCGGTATGTATGTATGTCTCCATACCACGTGCATGGCTGGTGCCCTTAGAGGCCAGAAGAGGTCCTTAAAATTCCTGGAACTGGGGGGCTGGAGAGATGGCTCAGTGGTTAAGAGCATTGCCTGCTCTTCCAAAGGTCCTGAGTTCAATTCCCAGCAACCACATGGTAGCTCACAACCATCTGTAAAGAGGTCTGGCACCCTCTCCTGGCCTTCAGGCATACAGACAGATTATTNGCAGAGTCTGACCTCACTTCCTCTTCCGCCCAGAATTCTATCCTGTTTACTCCTCCCACCAAATGCTTTAACCTATCAGGGCCAAGCAGTTTCTTTATTGCTCAGCCAATGAAATCAACAGATTGATATATGACACTCCCACATCAATTAGGGCAGATTTTAAGTTTAAAATCCTGAAGATTGGAGCAAAGGCTATATAGCTTAGATGGTAGAATACCTGCTTAGCATTCCCAAGCCCTGGGCTTGATCTCAGTATCAGATAAACAGGTACACTATAGTCCCAGCATTTGGACCGACGGGAATTGGAGGCAGGAGGATTAGGACTTTCAGGGCAACAGCCAGGGCCATATAAAACCCTGTTTCCAAAAGAGAAGGATACTAAGGTCATTTAGTGTTTCATTTAGTGGGATTAGCCTCATATTTAAACTTTTATACTGTTTTCTTTCTGTTATGCCCAAATCCGTGAAGTTCCCGCAAAAGCCAACAAGGAAACCGAATCCCATATGTAAAAGCAAAGAGCCTTTATTTTAGTCAAGTTTGTGAACTCCGCATGTCCAACGTATTGGAATAACTGGAGAGCCCCAAGCTCAATTAGAATAGGGTTTTTATAGTAGTAAAGGTGGGGGCGAGGGCTTTCTGAGGTTCAGGACCTCTGATTGGCTGACATTTGTCTAGGGGTGTCCTGGCAGGTGATCCTATCTACGGTGGTTGGAACATTAGGCATTTCCTTTGGATGGTCTATTCTTGGGCGGTGGTCGGGTCCTGGCACCGGGTATTGCCTCAGGGTAAACTACCGAGACTTAGGCCTCTTATTAAATTTATCCAGGGCCGAGTTCTACTCTGGCAGGTGATAATGGTTGGAAATAAGAACTTGCTTTGGGTGACCTGTCCTTACTTAGCTTATCATGGCTGGCCCCCACACTTTCTTTCTTTTTTGGTGGAGGGGGAGTGGTGGTGTTTGAGACAGGGTTTCCCTGTGTAGCCCTGGCTGTCTTGAAATTCTCTTTCTTTTTTTTTTTTAATTTAATTTAATTTTTCTGTCTCTTCCCCACCGCCGCCTCCCCTGAAATTCTCTTTCTGTAGACCAGGCTGACCTCAAACTCACAAAGATCTGCCTGCCTCTGCCTCCCGAGTGCAGGGATTGAAGGTGTGCACCATCACCTGGCATGCTATTTTCTGAACTGAACTTGCTTTTGATTTTGCTTGTCAAAGTCGAAAGGCTAATTCATTTCTCTTAAAAGGGCCAACTTCCCAGGCCTTTGTTGGCACAGACCTGTAATCTGCCCGTTTGGGGGACCAGAGCAGCAGGATTCATGGCCAGCCTGGGCATCGTAGTGAAACCACCTCTAGACTAACCGCGGCTGGCAATAGAGATGAACGTTTCCTTGGCCTGGCGCGGGCGACAGGAGAGTGGGAACGGGAATAAAGGACAGGATTGCTGGCGCGAGGCCCTGTCTTACTGAAAAAAAAAAAAAATCCACTTTTGTTAGTAGCAAAAGAGGGGACTGAGAAGACGTTGTTCACCTGTGCTGATCACTCTTGTTAGCCTAGAATCTGAGCCAGGAGTGTGTTTGTGATAGGGAGGAGCTAATAAATTGTGGCGTCTACTCAGCCATATAGTCTGTGGTGGGCAGGAATGGTCTGTGGGGAATCACACCACGATATAGCAAAATACTTACGGTGTAATATTATGTACTCCAAAAAAAAAAAAATACAAAAGCATTCTGCTCCAACCACACCTATGTAGAAACTTGCACATGAGAAATTATTGGATGTAACAGTTTTCTGTTATCCATGTAGTCTTAAGCCTATTGCTGTTCAGTGTGGTGATACCAGATAGGTGTGGCCACTGAGCCTTGAAGTGCTACAAGTACCCACTGGACTGTTGAGACTTACTTTACGCAGCAGGTGTGAAAGGGAAGCCAGCTTGAGGTAGCATAGGGTAGAAAGTACAGAGTTATTGATTTATTTAGCAGTTCACTTAAAGCATTGCTTACACTACCAAGCATGTCTTCACTCGCTACCTGGAACCGAATGACCTAGAGAAATAGCTAAAGTAACTGGTCATTGCCCTTAACAACCTGCTGACTGCCACCTACACTTCTGTAAAGTCTTGCTTGTTGGCCCCAGCTTGTGGCTTTAGAATATGAATTGAGAATACCTACTGGGCCCTGCATCGGAGCCTTTCAGGACCTGTCCTGGCTTCGGTCTACTGATGACATCGCCTGTCTTCTACTCTTGATGGTGCCAGCACTTGTTCTTCTCAGAGAACCCAGGTTCAGTTCCTAGTGCCCACAGTACCCACAGGTTGCTCTCAACTGTCTAGAACTCCAGTTCCAGGAGAGCCAGTGCCCTTTTCTGCCCTCTAAAGCCACCAGGCGTGTGTGTGGTGCACAGACACAAAACAACAATAACAAAACAGAAAAAGGTACCACTTTTGTTAAAATGGCAGTATACTGAATTAAATAGACTCTATACATATTCTTAATTTTTCTTTTTTTCTTTTCTTTTTTTTTTTTTTTTTTTTTTTTTGAGGCAGGGTCTCTCTATGCTGGCCAGGATGGCCTTGAACTCACAGAGATCCACAAGTCTGCCTCCTGTGTGCTGGGACTAAAGGTGTGTGCTACACACCTGGCCCAAGTAGACTATATTTATTTTAAACATTTTCACTGAGCTGGGCATAGTATTTCATACCTGCAATCCCAGTACTCAGGAGTCTGAGGCAGGAAGATTGCCAAGTTCAAGGCCAGCTTGGACTATAGGATGAGACCATGTTGAAATAAACACCCCCAAAATTTAGTTTCCCAGTGTGTTTTCTGTTATAAACGTGCCTACTAGAAAATTGAAAATGATGTGTGTGACTTGCGTTGTTTAGACAGGGTTAGTCTGGTTTCTATGAAGTCACTCATTGCGCCGTCAGAAGGTCCTTGGAAGCCGAGCTTGATGGTGCTGCCTACTAGAGAAGCTGAGACAGGAGGATCATGAGTTTGAGGCAGCCTGGGCTGCATCCGTAAGGTCACCCTTTCTGAAGAAAAGAACAGGGAATTAAAAGATGGAGAAGAAACTCCCTGAAATAAACCACAGCAGAGATAGGTGGAGTTGGTACCCAAACCTGCGTTAGGTGATGGAGAGGGGTGGGGAGTGACACCTGTGGCTCTCAGTGAGCGCTCTCATTGGAGAGAAGCTGGGAGAGGAGGCTCTAGGAAAGCTGCCCGGCTGGGAGTTTTACCAAAGGACACCACACACGAGTTGGAATCTCAGTTGGAAGCCGGACAGTTTAGGCTGCTCAGGTTAATGCAGTGACCCTGTGAGCAAGACCCCAGGGCCCAGCGTGCAGCAGCTGATTGTCCTGACAGTCGTTGCACACTCCGCGGTAGGCGAGGCTTGCTCGCTTTTAGACAGTGCAGGGAATGGGAGGAAACCTGCAGTATGCCAAATTCTCAGTCAAAGCACAGATCTCAAGTCTGTGTCCCTTTTGTGACCGCTGTGCCTGTCTCTCTCGTTTGTCTGAGTAGGCTTTGCAGGAGAAGCTGTGGAATGTGGCTGCCCCCCTATATCTAAAGCAGAGTGATTTGGCCTCAGCAGCAGCAAAACAGGTAAGCACATGGAGACTCCTCAGTCGGGCGTCTGTCTGGGAGCTTGCTCTGTAGACCAGGCTGACCTCAAATTCACAGAGATCCACCTGCCTCTGCATCCCTAGTGCTGGGATTAAAGGCGTGTGCCACCAACGCCTGGCAATTTTGAGGTTATTTTAATATTTTTAGTTCTTTGATACTTTCATAGAGTGTATTTTTATATTCATCCATACTCCTCTTCCTAACTTTTCCTAAAGCTATCCCCACCTCTACCACCCGGTTTTGTTTCTCCTTTTTTAAAAAAATAACCTGCTGAGTCTTGTTTGTGCTCTGTCCATATTCCAGGGTTAGGGCCACCCACAAGAGTGTCGCTAGTCTGCCAGGAGCCACACCCTTCCTCAGAAGCCATCAGCTTGTGCAGCCCTCTCTCTCCTGTGATGTTTTACTGACTGTCTTTCCTTACAGATCATGGAAGAAACCTATAAAATGGAGTTTATGTACAGCGGGGTGGAGAATAAGCAGGTGGTGATCATACACCACATGAGGCTCCAAGCCAAAGCCCTGCAGCTGATAGTCACTGCACGGACCACGCGAGGGTAAGGTGCAGCTGATAGTCACTGCAGGGACCACGTGAGGGTAAGGTGCAGCTGATAGTCACTGCAGGGACCACGTGAGGGTAAGGTGCAGCTGATAGTCACTGCAGGGACCACGTGAGGGTAAGGTGCAGCTGATAGTCACTGCAGGGACCACGTGAGGGTAAGGTGCAGCTGATAGTCACTGCACGGACCACGTGAGGGTAAGGTGCAGCTGATAGTCACTGCAGGGACCACGTGAGGGTAAGGTGCAGCTGATAGTCACTGCAGGGACCACGTGAGGGTAAGGTGCAGCTGATAGTCACTGCAGGGACCACGTGAGGGTAAGGTGCAGCTGATAGTCACTGCAGGGACCACGTGAGGGTAAGGTGCAGCTGATAGTCACTGCACGGACCACGTGAGGGTAAGGTGCAGCTGATAGTCACTGCAGGGACCACGTGAGGGTAAGGTGCAGCTGATAGTCACTGCAGGGACCACGTGAGGGTAAGGTGCAGCTGATAGTCACTGCAGGGACCACGTGAGGGTAAGGTGCAGCTGATAGTCACTGCACGGACCACGTGAGGGTAAGGTGCAGCTGATAGTCACTGCACGGACCACGCGAGGGTAAGGTGCAGCTGATAGTCACTGCAGGGACCACGTGAGGGTAAAGTGCAGCTGATAGTCACTGCACGCACCACGCAAGGGTAAGGTGCATGTTGTATGGAAAGAGCCTGCTTTGGTCCCACCTGGCTATCTTACACCCGAAATAATCACACAGAAATTGTATTAAACACTGTCTGGCCCATTAGCTCTAGCTTCCTATTGGCTAACTCTCACATCTTTTTTTTTTTAATATTTATTTATTATGTATACAATATTCTGTCTGTCTGTATTCCTGCAGGCCAGAAGGGGGCACCAGACCCCATTATAGATGGTTGTGAGCCACCATGTGGTTGCTGGGAATTGAACTCAGTACCTTTGGAAGAGCAGGCAATGCTCTTAACTTCTGAGCCATCTCTCCAGCCCCTAACTCTCACATCCTGATTCGACCCATTTCTAATAATCTGTATGTCACCACGAGGTCGTGGCTTACTGGGAAAGATTAGCATGTCTGACCTGGCAGCTCCATGGCGGCTCTTTCTCTGCCCTTCTTCCCAGCATCCAGTTCTGTCTACTCCACCTACCTAAGTGCTGCCCTATCAAAAGGCCAAGGCAGTTTGTTTATTCAACCAATGAAAGCAACACATAGACAGGAGAACTTCCTACACCAGGTGCACACTGGACAGAACAGGTGTTCTCCTGAGGATACCGTAGATACAATCACCGCTCTCTTAAGGCAAATGATGAGGAAGATATAGGGAAGTCTGCTAAGAGATGTGCAGTCTGCTTCTTTCACTTTCAGGAAGTCTGAAGACCCATGCCTGACCTCTCTAGCCACAGATACGACTCCTGGTCTTGTGTTCCTCAGAGAGACCGTTGCCTTTCTTGCTGTCTAGGAGCTCGTCCACCTTACAGTGCTTGGGTTTCGGGGTTCTTGTCCTCACTCCTTCGTTCACAGAGTGACAGGCTTCTTACATTTTGCTTTTTTCCTGCAGAGTTGACCCCTTATTTGGAATGTGTGAAAAGTTTTTACAGGAAGTGGATTTTTTTCAGAGGTGAGTATTTTGTAACTCTTACGATGGTTTCTTCATCTTGTTTATGCAGAAAGTAACCTAACAGACGCCAAACGAGATCACGTCTTTTACGTCTGCTGAGCTGTCCGTCACCTGTTGTCAGTGTTTTCCTTAGTGGTGTATAAACTTTGTAAGTCTAGAGCTTCGGAATAATAAATAATAAAAACATCAGGGCCATTTGGATTCAGCCCTTAGCTGAGCTACAGAAAACAAGTATGAATCTCTACAAACAACAACAAATTGTTCTTTTAATTCCTTTTATATTTTTGTTTGAGATAGGATCTCACTGTGTTGCCCGGACTGGTCTTGAATTGTTGATCCTCCTGCCTCACCTCCTGAATGGTAGGATTACTGATATGTACCAGTGTGCCTGGGATTGTTCTTTTGCCTTTTTGAGACAGGGTCTCATGTAGTCTGGGCAGGCCTTGAACTTGTTGTATAGCTAAAGCTGGCTTGAACTCCTGATCCTCCTGCCTGTACCTCCCAAGTGCTGGGATTATTGGCAGTTGTTCTTTAATTCCGTAGGTAAATAATAACAAGCCAGGTGTACTGACACATACCTTTAATGCCAGCATGGAGACAGAGGCATGGGGATTTGAGGCCAGCTTGGTCAAAATAGTAAGTTCCATACTAGCCATTGCTGCATAGTGAGACCATAAAGAAATGGAGAGAGATGGAGAGAGAGAGAGACAGAGAGAGACAGAGAGACAGAGAGAGAAAGAAGAAGAAGAAGAAGAAGAAGAAGAAGAAGAAGAAGAAGAAGAAGAAGAAGAAGAAGAAGAAGAAGAAATAAGTAGGAGTTAGAGAAATGGTTAAGAGTAGTTACTGTTCTTTCAGTGAAATTGAGTTTGGTTCCCAGCACCTATACAGAGTGCCTCACAATTACCTGTAACTCCAGTTCCAGGGCTTTGATGCCCTCTTCTGGCTGCTGCCAGCCCCTGCATTCATGTGCACATACCCACACACAGAAACATGCACACATAATTAAAAATACATGTGAATCTTCTAAAATAACAGAATGAATGTGTGGAATAAATGTGTCTCAAGATGGGCACCATAGGGCACGTCTGTAATCCCAGCTGATCTGGATGATAAGGCAGAAGAATCACTTGAGCCTATTATTTCAAGACCAGCTTGGGCAAAATATTGATTATGTGCATGCATGCTTGCGTGTGTGTGTGTGTGTGTGTGTGTGTGTGTGTGTGTGTGTGTGCGCGCGCACGCTCAAGCATAGGGGAACCAGGGGCTGATGTTAGGTGTGTGCCTCAGTCACTGTCCACCTTTTTTTCTGCAACAGTCTCACACTGGACCTGGAGGGCATTGGTTTATCTAGGCCAGTGGCCAGCAAGCTCCAGGGAGCCTCCTGCCTTAACCTTCCCAACACTAGGGGTCACTGCCGCTCCCTACCTTTTTACTTGAGTTCTGGGGGAGTGGAATCCAGGTTCTTGTCACTTTAAAATGTTTCTCGGGGGCTAGAGAGATGGCTCAGAGGTTAAGAGCACTGCCTGCTCTTCCAGAGGTCCTGAGTTCAATTCCCAGCGACCACATGGTGGCTCACAACCATCTATGAGACCTAGTGCTCTCTTCTGGTGGGCAGGCATACATGCAGACAGAACATTGTATACATAATAAATAGATAATAATAAAAAGTGGGTATCAGGTCCATCTACTATGGTCTGGATCTACTCTTAAAACATGCAGTAGATGATCAGAGGGCTTGATAGAGTTAAAGTAGTGAGACTGAGCTTGTTTCGTGTGAACAGTTGGGTTTTTCATGGCGGGGAGCATAGTAGCCAGCAGGCAAGCATAGTGCTGGAGCTGTACCCTAGGTCTCACATCTTAAAAACACGATCACAAAGTCTATAACTCCAGTCTCAAGGGATCTGACACCTACTTCTGTCCTCAATGGACCAAATACACAAATGATACACAGATATACAAGCAGATAAAACACCCATACATGTAAAAAAAATAAAACTTAAATATTAGAATAAAAACAAAATTTTCCTCCTTTCACCATGTAACTGTGGCTGTTACAGAACACTGTGTATACCAGGCTGACCTCAGACACACAGATATCTGCCTGCTTCTGCCTCCTGAGTGGTAGGATTAAAGGTATGTGCCACCATAATCTGTCAAAAATAAATCTTAACAAAGTTCTTTCACACTTGATGGAGGACACACTCTATAATCTCAGCAGTTGAAAGACCAAGGCAGGAGGATTGCATTTCCCTGAGCTATAGTAAGACCCTCTCTCAAACCACAGCAAAATCATAACAAACCCCCGGGGCTGGGATACAGTTCGGTGGGAGAGGCCCAGGGCTCAATCCCCAGTGCTACAAATGGATCAACAAAAAATTCAGCTGTTCTTCTTGCTTATTATTATTAGCATGATCCCCAGACTTAGAGTAGTACCTGGCACTTGATGGAGCCTCCTGTAAAACATTTCTAATTAATTAGCGAATCTATGAAAAGAATGATAATAGCATAATGATTAAATACACTCATATAAAGCACTCAAGTACATGCCTGACACTCATGGTTACTCATTAACAGAGCCTCAAATTATAGCCCAGGCTGGCCTTGATCTCACAATAATCCTCCTGCCTTGGCAGAATCCCCCAAATTCTGAGATTATAGACATTAACCACCATGCCAGCGAAACAGGCTCTTAAACAAAAAAACCAATTTTCTATGTATGTCTCTGTGTGTGTACACGTTTTATATGTACCAGATGTTGATGTAGAGTGTTTTTTAATGATTTATGATGTGTACAGTGCTCTATGTACATGTATGCTGCAGGCCAGAAGAGGGCACCAGATCTCATTACAGATGGTTGTGAGTCACCATGTGGTTGCTGGGAATTGAACTCAGGACCTCTGGAAGAGCAAGCAGTGCTCTTAACCTCTGAGCCATCTCTCCAGCTCCGAATGTTTCCATCAAACACTTTCCACCTTATTTACTGAAGCAGGGGCACTTACTAAATCTGGAGTTTGCCAGTGAGCTTGATCTGCTGGCCAACAAGCCCCGGGGATCCTCTTCTGCCTTCCCAGTGCTGGGATACAGGCTCATGCTACTGTCCCCGTCTTTGTTACAGATTCTGGGGGTTAGGTTTAGGTCCTCAACGCCTGCAAGGCCAGGGCGTTTTTGACTCAGCAGTGGCTCTTTGGCTGATCATGGTGCCCCAGCAGGCTGATCACTGTCCCTGTCAATTTCAGGCACGATCCTAAAGCTCCTCCCATTCAGTCCTCTTCCTGCTTCAGGGCTGGCAGAAGTGTGGGCTTAGCTAGCTTGGTGAACAAGTGTGTGGTCAGTGCTTCTGTGTGTTCACACAGGTGCTTTGTTGCCGATTTGCCCCAACTTCATGACAGCTTTGTGGATAAACTTCTTGATATTATGCCCCGACTCATGGCGTCTAAACCTGTGGAAGTGATCAAAATTCTGCAGACAATGCTGCGGCAGAGCACCTTCCTCCATCTCCCGCTCCCGGAGCAGGTCAGAGTCCACGTGCCCTCGCCCATCTGTCCTGAGACTGAAAGCCACTTAGTTCAGTGAACTTCTGTGACCAGGGGAGCAATGAGCTAGGGTCCTTCCTCTGATTACATGTATTCATAGGCGGAAGACTGGGATGCCATGGCATGTGTGCATGTGTGGGTCCAAGGATCAAACTCGGGTACCACCGTGGTAGTAGGGACCACCCCTCTAAGCTTTCTCATTGGCCTGAAAATCGGCATATTTTTTTGTTTACAGATCCACAAAGCCTCGGCCACCATCATCGAGCCCGCAGGCGAGTCAGACAACCCTTTGCGGTTTACATCTGGGTTGGTGGTAGCCTTGGATGTGGATGCAACCCTGGAACATGTACAAGACCCTCAGAACACTGTTAAGGTCCAGGTGTGTTGGGTGTGGGCTCCGTGTGTTTACACTGACACTATGTTGAAGCCTTTAACTTTGGTTCTTTTGTCATCTACTTGAGGGACCAAGACTGAAAAGGGACAAAAAGAGGTGCCATGGCAGGAGCCAACTCTGCTCTTGAGCAAATTAAACTCTAAACCTCAGATTCTACATCTGAAAATAGGAATAGCAGACATTAGCATGAAATGTATATAATGCCCTCAGAATCCAGGAAGGTTTTATTTACTAAGGATCTGTATAATGCAGACTTTAGATTTAATCCCTTCTACACACACACACACACACACACACACACGCACACACGCTGAATGTATCAGTTGTAATAAACAAGTTCTATTGGTTGGTCAGGTGGCAGACAGAACTCATAGATGGGAAGAAATGATCAGGAGAACACATTTTTCCAGCCTTAGATAAGCTAGAATCACATGAGCTGAGCCGCAATCCCAGCTTCCTCCACCTCTCCGTCCTTCCTGCCGTCCGTCTGTGCATCTCGTGCTTCCTTCAGTGCAGTGCTAAGTGTGGAGGTTGTGGATAGGCTGAGTGGTGCACTCAGTTTCCCTGGGAGCCGGATCAAGGGGCCGGCAGTTAGAAGTGGAGGTCGGTGCTTCAGGCACGGTTAAGCTTACTGTGCTGAAGGTGCTGACGCGGGTACCGCCTGAAAGAGGACCGGCCGAGGGTGAGGAAAAGCGGAGAGTGAGCCCTTGGTGGTGCAAGTCATGAGAGAAGGAGAGGGCGGTCTGAGTTACTGTATTTTAGCTACTGCAAGAGGAAATACATTTTTCAGTTGTTCTGAAATTCAGAATATAATTCATGCTGGCCATTTTCTTCTCCTCACCTGCTTGGGCCACAGGTTTTTAAACTCCTGAAGGAATGTTTCTGGCAGCTGTAAGACAGCAGAGTCTTTGACAGAGAACTTGGTTCTGTTTGTTTGTCCCACTTCTTTCTTCTTTAGAAGTCATTTTTTGGTTATTTCAGACATGGATGCATTGCCCTATTCCATTATCCTCCCAACCTCTCCTCTCCTTTTAAGTTAACCCACTGAGCTGTTAAAGATAATGGAGTTCTGGAAACTAGGGCCCCTACAGCTTTCTTCTTCCCTAGGATGGGGCTGCAGAGCCTAGAAGCCAGTAGAGAGAAACAGCTTGTAATTATCTTCGCTGTGACCAGATACCTGAGAAAAGGAGATGGAAGGAGTTGATTTAGCTCGTGGTTTCGAAGGTTTCAGTCTGCAGTTGCCTGGCTCCATCCCTGTAGGCCTCAGGTGAGGCTACAGCGTCATAGCAGGGAGTACATAGAGGACAAAGCTGTTCAGCTCGTGGAAAGGAGGAAGCTGGGACAGAGCAGGGGCTGGGGACGTGACAGGCTCAGCCTCGCCCCAGAATACATGAAATTACAAATCTCTCAGGGGTTTGAGCCCTTGGTTAGGTCAGAGTCCTAATGATCCAGTCATTTCCCCAAAACCCTGCTTCTGAACACTACTTTACGGACTAAGCTTTCAGTATACAAGTTTAAGGCTAGTGTAGGCAAGTAACAAAACTGGATCTCAAAACAGTCACAAAGATGGCTTAGTGAGCAAGAAGCTAAAAGTCACTGGAGCATAAAAATCCCGGTATAGCCACACATTCCTGCATGCTGCCCAGGGGGTGGGGGAAATGCCTTGAAAACAAGGTGGAGGGCGGTCTGGTCTCTGCAATATCCCCTCCCCCCATACCCAAACACAGCAGAGAGAAGGAGAGAAAAATAAACATAGACCTGTCAGTCCTTGGGAGGGCCCAAGATGCTCAGAGAGATGAAAGATTTGAGCCAGCAGACAAGACACAAACTTCCCTGGATTTCATGGTTGAAAGGATGATCCGAGTCCTCTCTGTGTGCACAGAGCTTGTCCAGTCCGTCCTCCTGTCTGCTTGTCCCTGTGTCCTGTAATAGACTCCGCACAGGCAGCTAGGGCCTCAAGCTATTGAGGGAAGAATTCTATGTCCCTTGGAGAGATGTGAAGATTTGGCTAACGATGCAAACAGACCCCCTCTTTCTTTGAGTGCTCTCTGGAGACTGCTTCAGAGCCAAGGAGGGAAGTCCTTTCAGCGCTGCGACATTGTTCCTCTTAAGAAATATTTACTGCACGCTGCTTCTAGTATTGTCTACCACCACCACCACCCTTTTTTTTGTTTTGTTTTGTTTTGTCAAATTTTTGAGACGGGGCTTCACTGTGCTGCCCTAGCTGTCTTGGAGTTCACTCTATAGACCAGGCTGGCCTCGCCTCTGCCTCCCGAGTGCACCACCACTGCCCGACATGCCTTGTTCCCACTTAAGAAGCAGATTTTTATGATGGCTAGGGTCACCTTTCTACTGCTGACTTGGGGTTCACATCTATTTTCTTGGCTCATGTGTCTTCTGTGGTTCCATTTCTGTAATGCTTTAGGTCTTGTACCCTGATGGCCAGGCTCAGATGATCCACCCGAAGCCAGCAGACTTTCGAAACCCTGGCCCCGGCCGGCACCGCCTCATCACTCAGGTGTACCTCTCCCACACTGCCTGGACAGGTGAGTCAGCGGGCTGGGGGAGCGGGAGCATCTCCCCACTAATCTCACTATCTGCCCGTTATGATTGTTTAGAGTATCACCGTGCAGCCCTGGCTGGCCCAGAATTCTGTGTAGACCAGGCTGGCTTCCAGCTCTGCCTCCCAAGTACTGGGATTAAAGGCATGTGCCAGCCAGGCATGGAGGCAGAGGCAGGCGGATCTCAGTGAGTTCGAGGCCAGCCTGGTCTACAGAGTGAGTTCCGGGACAGCGAGAGCTACAGAGAAACCCTGTCGTGGGGGCTACCCTGAGTGAACTGGATCTCTGTTACGGAAGGATGTCATAAGCTCAAACATTAATATGTTTGGACTGATTTGCTGTTTGCACAAGGAACAAGGTTCCATTAGAAGACATGGGGGACTGTAGAGCCGAGTCTCATGGGGATAGACTGGGCTGCACACAAGGAGACCAACTTTGCTGCTCTAATGCAGGAAGTGGAGTCCATAGCTCCTTTGGAGGTCAGGATGCTACCTTGTAGAGAGCTAGGTCTCAGAGTTGGGGGTTCAGATCCTTCCTTTACTGTGAGATTCTGTCAACCTTACTTGTAGAGAGCTAGGTCTCAGAGCTGGGGGTTCAGATCCTCCTTTCCTGTGAGATTCTGTCAACCTTACTTGGCTTCTCCTTTTCTTTAGGATGGGAACCATTCTTCTAGGAAAAACGGATGCGTTGTAGGGCTTGTCTCGGGTGACTTTCATTTCTCCTCTCCACCATTGCCTCTCTTTTTCTCTCTCTCTCTTCTCCCTTCTCGGTGGCATTGGCTTGAATTGCCATTCCTATTAGAAGCTGATAAGGGAAGGCAGAATGGCTCTCTGCCCTCCCGACTTGCCCAGGATTTGGCTCCTTGAAGTGCTGTGGTGCTGTCTGAGATAGACCAGGAGTCGTGATGACAGAGCTGATGCTGGGCTTGCCCTGGCTGCACCCCGAGTGGGAGATGGTTCTGGAAGTCTGGGATTGGCATAGTGCTTATGTCATGACCACACTCATGACTGAGAGGCCCTGTGGTGTGGGTGTGTACGCTGCATGGCTGGAGCTGAGGCTGCGCTTAGTACTCCTGCTGAACTCAGTGGGCCCAGGAGGAGAGCAATGTCATCTTTGCTCTGACCCCGAGAGACCAGAAACAGAGTTGGAGTCCTGGAGCCTTTGTCCTGGTTGATTTGTGAACCATCCAGCTCATTCTTACCCTCCGAACTTTTAGCCGGAAGCTGATCTTTAACCCTTACACCAAAGTAGGGCACATGCAAGTTGATTGTGTTCTGTGCCTTGCAGTTGCCAGTAGGTCCTTCTGAATGTCTCTCCCTCTCCTTTGTGGAAGCCATGTGGTTAGCAAAAGACCAAACTCAGCTCAGTTGTTCACAGGGTGGATCTGAGCAGCCACTTAGAGCTATCTGAGCTCCTGGACTTTTTTTTTTCAAGATTGTGACTCTTTTTTTCATGGTGTGGCAAGAAAAGAAGTCCTAGGGTTTAGTGCTTGGCACAGAGTGGGTTTCTATTCCAAAGCCTCCCTGCCTTCTTCCCTCAGTGCGTTCAAGCTCAATTAGAGCATGTCCTATACTCCATGCCACTGAGCTGAAACAGCCAATGACTCACGAGGGGTTTGTTTACTCTCAGGAGGCCTGCCACAGACAGGCGGCGGATCTGCAGTGTAGTGTGTGAAAGAATCAGAAGGACTCTGCTGTTTTAAATCCCCGAAACAGGTTCCTTTCCACTGGTAACAAATTTTCTGCCAGAACTGTTTCTACCTTGAACCTTTCCACTAGAAAAGGCAGGTCCAAGATGCACACAGACCACAGTCACAGCACCGACTGCGTATCCAGCACTGTGGCCTCCTGCAGATTTCTCTCTGGTGCCCTCGGCAGCTGTGGCTCTGAGTGGCAGAAGCCCACATGGAGGCAGTGGCTTTACATCTGCAGCTCGGGACCAGCCTCAAATGATTCAGCTAGAAAACTGGTTTTGTGTTTGAGGATAAAAAGGGATGCAGACAGAGAGATTTGCTTGCCTCTGCCTCCAGGGTGCTGAGATTAAAGGTGTGGGCCACCTCCATTTGATGTGCTCCTCCCCCAGCCGTGCAGCCGGCTTTGATGGCCCTTCATTTGCAGCTTCATTTGAATTCCTAGAAGTTACCGAGTGGTGGAGGATTTCTTGTTTTATTTTTATTTTCCAGAGCCATGCCAGGTGGAAGTGCGGCTGCTGCTGGCCTACAACTCTGGTGCACGCATCCCAAAATCTCCATGGATGGAGGGTGGTGAGATGTCACCACAGGTGGAGACCAGCACTGAGGGCACCATCCCCTTCAGTAAGCCCGTGAAAGTTTACATAATGCCCAAGCCTGCAAGACGCTGACCCTAACCAGTTTTCACAGCCATGGCCTAGGAGCCCTTTCTAGGTACTGTGAGCAGAAGCCTGGTACATCACCTGGAAGTATGTAGGCATGAAGAACATGCCAGCCTTACAGTCCCTTTCAGTATCGTACACAGGGTCAATCATTTTTACATTAATAACAGAAATATTCTGGTTTATCTCTTCCGTTCCCATAATAAAGTTGAGAAAACACCTAGCTGTTCTAGTTTCTAGTCTTAAAAAGAAGCCCATAGCAGTAATAACACATGTTAATTCTGAAATGTAAGACATACGGTATGATTTTCCAGGCATTTCCAACTCCCGGTTATTCAAACCATAACCATAGTCTTGTTTCTTGAAGTAACAATTTCTTTGCCAGAGTCAACTCCAAAGCCATTTAACAGCTGTGTATCACCACTGAAAGGTTCTGAAGGGCCTTGGAGATCTATTGTCTTCCTGATCAGGCAGTGGACGGGCGAAGAAAGGACAGAATAGCAGGGCAGTAGGTCATTTTCATCCTGCATTGCCCTTGGAATCCCTTCGCCTTTAATAAAGGCATGAGGGCCATATTTGGGGAAAGCAGGCCGTGCTGTGGGAAGAAAGGAAGTCCTGTCTGGCAGCACCTCTGCTGCGCTGGAGCTGCAGGAAAGTCCAGGTGAGGTGGACTAAGTCGGTGCTGCAGAGAGGCTGACTGGGAAGCAGGCCTGTGCGTGTGCATGTGCCATCCACATAAGGTTTGGAAGCTGTACCGTTAATAGTCAAACTTATATTCCTTCGAATCTAAAAGGATTCCAGAGGCCCCAGTTGTTCTGCTCTATTGTCCCACTACGGGGGAAGTACACAGGTACTCTGGACTATGTGTCTCCTGAAGGGCACATGGGGAACCACATCCACAAGGGGTGTTGCCGTCAGTTGTGTGAGCCTTGTCTTAGAATTGGGCATTATGATAGGAATGGGTTACTTAGCAAAAACAAATTTTGGGGGGCCAGCCGTGCATGGTGGTGCATACCTGTGATCCTAGCACTCTGCAAGCAGAGGCAAGTTAGATCTCTGTGAGTTCAAGACCAGCCTGGGCACATAGTGAGTTCTAGGACAGCCAAAGCTGTATAATGAGACCTTGTCTCAAAACAAAAAAACAAGATCTGTGGGGGTCTTTTGGAGGAGGGTGTGATGAGCTTTGCAAGCATGAGTTTAATTCTCAGCACCCCATAAAAGCTGGGCATGGTGGCGTGCATTTGTAACTGTGCGGTGCAGCCTAGGCAGGAAGGTCCCTGAAGATTCTGTCTCAAAACTAAGGTGGGTGGGTATGGCATAGTAAGCCTTAAATTCCAGCCCTCTGACCCACCTGAGCAGATGGGTCTCAGCGTTCAATGACAGCCTGACATTACTGAATTCAAGGCCCATGAGAGTTACATAGTAACGCCCTGTCTTGGCTCACAGTATAAAAGTACAACCCAAGCCTGACATCTCAGTTCGATCCTGGATATGGTGGCTCACATCTGTAATCCTAGCCCTCCTAGTGCAAGACAGGCAGAGACAGGATCACCCAGAAGCTCAAGGGCCGACGCGCTATGTACAGTGTGGAAGGAATGACAGAGTAAAGAAGAGCCAACTCCTGCCAGCAACTGTGAGTCCATGTGAACCAGCTCCTCTGCAGCCAGGGCTCTTCACTACTGAGCCATCTCCCCAGCTCCCAATACATTTGGTTTTTTTGTTTGTTTGTTTTTGTTTTTTTAAGGTGGGAAGCAATTGAGAACACTGAAATCACCTCTGGCCTCCACGTGTATGCGTTAATCCCAGCACTTGGGAGGCAGCGGCAGCCTGGTCTACACAGAGTTCCAGGACAACCAGGGCCACACAGAGAAACCCTGTCTTGAAAATTAAAAAAAAAAAAAAAAAAAAAAAAAGACCACACGATGGTAGGACCTCCAGCTGTCCAGCGCTCCGGTGTTTTGAAAAGCAGGAATGAGCACATGTGCTGGCTAGTTTTGTGTCCACTTGACACAAGCTGGAGTCACCTCAGAGGAGGGAGCCTCAGCTGAGAGAATGGAGCTGTAGGAAGCCTGCGGAGCATTTCTTAGTGGCTGTGGGGGAGGGCACAGTACACTGTGGGTAGGGACATTCTTGGGTTCCATAAGAGCAAGTTGAGCAAGCCTCCATGAGCTCCTGTTTCCAGGTTCCCACCCAATGTGAGTTCCTGCCGTGCCTCTCCTCAGTGGACTGTGACTTGGTATCTGTAAGCCAAATAAAACAAACCCTTTACTCCCCAAGTTGCTTTTGGTCACGGCTCACCGCAGCAATAGTAACCCTAACTAGGACATAGGTCAGGCAAGGGTCATTGAATGAGATGGATTTGGTGACACGGGCAGTACCTGCATCGACAGCCTGTCTTGATCACATTTGGAACGCGGAGAGCTTAGACAAGTAATAGCAAAAGTGCACCACGAAGAGGTGAAGCTGGAACTTATCAGCACGCTACTTTCCAGTTGTGCTTGGCGCTGTAACTCTTTACACGAACTAACTTCCAACTGCTCTACAAAGTAGGTACTCCTACCTTCATTTGGTAAACAAAATAATTAAAATTTAGAGAAACCGGGCCAGTGAGATGGCTCTTTCCATCAGGACAACGTCTTGAGTTCTTTGGGACCCAAATTGTGAAAGGAAAGGACCTGCTCGTCCAGGTTGTGTTCTGACCTCCGTGTTCCTCTTCATGTGTGTGCCTGCTCTTCACCCCACTTATATATTAATCAAATTCTTAAAAATCCAATCAAAACTGAAATTACCTAACTTGCCCTGTGTCCCATTGCTCCCAACTTGCACGCCTGGGACTTGTAGCCTGGCCACGCTGTCCAGCTCCGAGAGGCAGTAACTGCTATGGAGGTGGGAGGGGAGCATCCAGGGAGTGGACTTTCCCCATCTCAGGGGTGTGCCGCCATCAGGCTTTCGTGTCAGAATGGCACAATGCCCAGAAAAGACGCCTACCATAGGAGATGGAGTTTGAAGACATGCTGAATGACAGCTCCCTGGCCCTGAGCTGATGACCGAGCCCGTTACAGTGTATAACATTTGAAGATCTAATGGAATAATACGCTGGATACCTCCTACCAGGGGCTGGAGAGGTAGCTCTGGTCCGGGTGCTGCTTGTCCCTCCCAGCACACTTAACCGCAGGAGTGTGAATCCCACTATTATTTGGGTGACTCAAACACCTGTGGCTCCAGCTCCAATGACGCCGAAGCCTCTTCTGGCCTCCACAGGTGTCGGCACAATTTCACAGACAGGTGCACACACAAGCTTAAAAATGTTCAAATTTCCTTCCAGCTTCTCTCCATTACAGCTGGGAAACAGGCTTCTAGTGTTTCCTCAGAGTCCAGGCCAGGTCGTGCACTTTTCTTAAAGCCCCAGATAGACTTTGTGTACGAGGGGGACATACATTATAGGTATTATACTAGGTTTTGCCCTAGTGGCAGGATGCCTTTTTCAAAGCTGTGAGAATTGTGGGCTGCACTAGGATCTGTGAGTTTGCCGTGCTGGTGGAGTTTAGACAGACATTGAGCAAATCCTGACAAGCCTGTGGCTGAGGAATTCAATTATTTGACGAGGTAGGCTCAGCCTTGCACTCAGAAATGTCTGGTTCTGGGAAATACGAGAGCTTTTAGTTTCCTACATCTTCCTCCACACTGTCACTGACGGGAGACGATCGTGGTGGTGTGTCTTTAGCCCAGCTCCTCAAAGCAAATCCTGAGTCCAGGCTTCTGAAGAGACATTTGGAGTTCATGTGACACATGGCTGATTCTTGTCTTAGGAACCGCTCAGGCTAGGACAAATGAGAGCTGTGCTTCCTGCAAACTGAATCAAAGACTTAGAAGATTAATAGAGGGGACTAAGTATAACTCCACAGAACAGCTTCTCTCCGTGATCTGTGTCCAGCATTGGCCATACAGACCGGATTGGAAGTGGGTATTATTTATTAGCAGCTTTTATATGAAGGCTAATGACCCGACTGCCAGACACTTATTAGTCAAAGAAGTTTTGTTTTTAAAGATTTATTTATTTATTTATCATGTATACAGTGTTTTGCCTGCATATCTGCCTGCAGGCCAGAAGAGGGCATCAAATCTCATTACAGATGGTTGAGAGCCACCAAATGGGTGCTGGGAAGTGAACTCAGGACCTTTGGAAAAGCAGCCAGTGCGTTTAACCACTGAGCCATCTCTCCAGCCCCGGTCAAGGAAGTTTTTACTGCTTCCCCCACCCCCTTATGATTTCTTTTAATTCTGTAGTGACAATGCAGGTTGTGATGCAGTTACAACCATACCTGACTCAGTACCCACTGGAGCCATCTTAATTTAGACTGGGGGTGGGGATTACAATACCAGACATCCCTCATACCTACCCAGGGCTGGCTTTATAAGACGAGGGTACATAGTAGGAAGGTCCTGTCAGTCATCTGACAAGGGCACTAGGGAGGACCTCCCCAGATCTGCAGGGGCTGTCAAGTCCGTGAGGAACTCGCAGTGACCAGGGCACTAGGATTGCTTGACAGAGATGAAGACGCATGAGTAGAGCTAACCTGACCTGCTCACTTACTTCCTGGGTGAGGTTAAAACAGTATCTCTGTTTCGCTCTAGTTGTTTTTTCTCATAAAGTCCACTTTAAATTGCTCTCTAATCCACAGACTGGCTAACAACTAATACAGATGCCTAGCTGCACAGACTGGCTAACAGCTAATACAGATGCCTAGCTGCACAGACTGGCTAACAGCTAATACAGATACCTAGCTGCACAGACTGGCTAACAGTAATCTATGGATGCCTAGCTGGAGGCATCCACCACCATCAGCTGCTGCTTCTCTAACTGGACACCACCAGGTCATCCCTTCCCAGCTCCCCTCCTTGTGCTCCTGCTGGGCTTCTGCTAGGCTGCTGCAGAGGAGCACAATGGCCTGGCCTCCTGGAGTGGGTGTGGCCTTGGGTCAGGAGGCTGGTACAAGAGCAAGCAGTAGCCTCCTCCTCTCTCTTCCAAGGATCTGCCCATCTCTCCCTACCTTTTATGAATTTAACCCAGTGGGAGGCAAGGGGCAGGGCCCAGGTACCTTGAGGAGGGCACACAGGTCTGTGGGCATGAGCAGGCACTGAAGGTGTTGACTGCTCATTCTCCTGTCTTTAGTTCCTAGCAGGTGCTGGTGGAGGCTCCCACTGTGATTCATTTGTAAATTATCACGATCTTCTGCATTAAAATGTTTCTCTGTAAAGTATTTTTTTTTTTTTTTAAGAAAAGATGCCTAATTGGGCCACCCACATAGCTCAGAGCAAAAACTTAGCCTTTGGAGGCCAGCAAAGGGTATTAGATCTCCTGGGCCTGAATTTACAGACTGCTGGGAGGAGCCTTGTGGGTTCTGGAGCTCAAACCTGGGTCCTCTGGAAGATGCCAGCTCTCCTAACTCTCAGCCTCTCCAAAGACTCAGCTTTCATCTCTGTGGTGGTGGTATCCTTCCTGGCTGTCTTCCCATCCTGCTTAAGCCAAATTAACCTTTTCTTTGCACTTGGAACTACTGTGGCATTGTCGATTTCTTCCACATAACATTCTGGGGATGCTTCAGTACAGGATCTACTATGTAACCCTGGGTGATTTGTAACCTGCTATGTAGACCATGCTAGTCTGGAATTTGTGGTTTCCCCTCCCCACCTCTGCAGTGCTGGATGACAATTAATTGTGTATTGACCTGCCTGGCTCTCCCACACATCCTTAAGATTAAAAACTGTAAACTGGCCGGGCGGTGGTGGTGCACGCCTTTAATCCCAGCACTCGGGAGGCAGAGGCAGGAGAAGTCTACAAAGCAAGTTCCAGGACTCTACATAGGCATGGCCATGTAAGTAATTCCATCTTGAATCCACCCTGCCCAAGCCCACCAACAAAAGTTGGCTTTATGGATAAAGGTTCCAAGTCATCAACTGTGATGAGACCTTTAATGCTCTGAACTTTTCCAACCTTTTCTGTATGAACCTAACAGGCTGCACTGCTGAATTTCAGTAAGCCTTCTGATCTGAGCAACCTGGAGGGCCGGAACTCTGCCTTAGTCTTCTGTCAATCCATCCCCAGACATAACCCCATGCTCAGAATGCACGATGGGGGCTGCAGTGGAGCACGGTAAGAGAGACAGGCAAGGCATCCTTGTTAGTGGTTTATTCCCCTCCGTGGGCTCCATCAGCAGGTGGAATGGAAAACGCCTCCCACTCTGACCCCTTGGGCAACCAAGGCATTATACTCCTTCACCGCCTGCTCCGTCTGGAGGACCCGCACATCAATTCCTTGTTTCTCGAGGTACTCCACAGTGGATGGCGGCACCTGGAGAGAAGAGAGATGACTAAAAAGGGGGAAAGGGGCCCCAGAGACTTCTTTCCTGTCCTAAGGCAAGTGTACTTCGCAGAATCAGAGCACCTGTCACTTCTCAGTCACCAGAGCTTCACCACTCCAGCATTGGGCAGGGAGCCCCAGTGAGCTTCAGAAAAGCCTCTGAGAAGTTGGAGTCACAGTGGTTCAGAGTGTGTGCATGCGTGTGGCCGAGTTCACTCCCAATACCAGGGTGGGAAAAACAGACCACAGTCACATGCCCAAAGGGTCTCATACCCATGCTTTAGCCCTGGTGAAAAGAAAAGGGGGATACAGCATTTTGACTTAGCCCTGGATTGAAGCCTTTCCAGCACTGTAACTCTGAGTAAGGAATCTAACTCAGCACTTATTTCTCCTAATTCTGTGTTTATGAATCAAGGATAGGGTTGTAGGCTATTATTTTAACATGTGTTACATTTATTGATGTTGTGGAACATTTGTTTAATGATGCAAAGATGGGTTGCAGTTTTTAATGTGTTTGTTTAACTCTGTGAAGCTGTGGTTCTTTGCCTGTCCAAAGCACCTGATTGGTCAATAGCAAGGCAGGAGCAAGGATAGGTGGGGCTGCCAGGCAGAGAGGATAAACAGAAGGAGAAATCTGAGAGGAGGAGAAGGAGGAGCAGGAACAAGGGGAGGAGGATGCTAGGGGTCAGCCACACAGCCAGCAGAGGAGTAAGAGTGAAAATAAGGTATACAGAAATAGAAAAAGATAAAAGCCCAGAGGCGAAAGGTAGATTCAAGTTAAGAAAAGCTGGCTAAGCCGGGCAGTGGTGACACAGGCCTTTCATCCCAGCACACAGGAGGCAGAGGCAGGAGGATCTCCGTGAGTTCCAGGCCAGCCTGGTCTACAAGAGCTAGTTCCAGGACAGGCACTGAAAACTACAGAGAAACCCTGTCTCAAAAATCAAAACAAACAAACAAACAAACAAAAAAAAACCTACAGTCAGGGCTGGGCACAGACTTGGAAATCCCCTTCTGACAAAGTGGAGTCTCGTACATGATCTCACGCATCCTCGGTCTCTTACTGCTCAGCAACGAGAGGGCATGACATGGAGCTGAACTCCAGCGAAGGAGGTATCTGTAAAGCTACGGTCCAAGAGACAATGTCTGTCCTCAGGAATGTTGTGGACACCAGAACCTACCTTCAGGGCCTCACTCATCCCTCTGCCAATCACCAGGGTTTGCACGCCCTTCTCAGCGACTTCCTTCACGTCTGCAGGCTGCACTCCAGGGGAATGCTGGGTATGGAGGAGAGAACAGAGGTACCAATCTTTCTTCACAATAGAATTATTTTTTAATTTTTTTGGCCAGGCAGTGGTGGCGCACACCTTTAATCCCAGCACTCGAAAGGCAGAGACAGGTGGATCTCTGTGAGTTCGCGGCCAGCCTGGTCTACAAGAGTGAGTTCCAGGACAGGCACCAAAGCCACAGAGAAACCTTTTCTCGAAAAAAAAGAAAAAGGAAAAAAACAACAAAAACCCAAACAAACAAGAGAGAGAGAGAGAGAGTGTGTGTGTGTGTGTGTGCGCGCGCACATGCAAAGACCTGCCTGTCTCAGAGGAGCCACGGGAGAATGCACACAGGAGGTTTGTTTTTTCAATTTTAATGAAGTAATTTTAAATATTTTATTCTGTCCTCTCTCTTAGCCTTTTAGTTCTCCAGTGGAGGAAGGAGAGGAAGAGAAAAGAAGATTTTCCTGTGGGGGAAAATAGTACTCTATAGAGCAATCACAGCTGTACCTAGTCATTAGGTTTCAGCCTTTCAGCCTTCAAGGCTGCTCCTCAGCACTGGAGTCCAGAAAAAGCCTTCAGTAGAGCAGAAGCAGTGTGTATCTGAGTTCAAATCCCAGCTCTACCACTGCCAGCTGGGTCCTCTGAGCCCGGGTCAGTTTCCTTCTCTGTACAGTGAGAATGAAGGCTTTGGTGCTTGCACTTCCCTATTCTTACTGTTTTTATTATTTATTTGCTTGCTTGTTTTTGAGGCAGGGTTTCTTTATGGTTCCTTCCATCCCCAGCTCCAGGAATTTTTTTTTTAAGATTTATTTAAAATAGCTATACAGCCGGGCGGTGGTGGCGCATGCCTTTAATCCCAGCACTTGGGAGGCAGAGGCAGGCGGATCTCTGTGAGTTCGAGGCCAGCCTGGTCTACAAGATCTAGTTCCAGGACAGCTCCAAAGCCACAGAGAAACCATGTCTCGAAAAACCAAAAAAAAAAAAAAAAAA